AAGTGAAAGGCTTTAAAAACTTCCAGATGAATGACTCTGGGAATGGCACTGAGGTGCCGGGGTTTCAAAAGGCTCTCCGCGTAGAGTTGCCAGATTTGGATGTTGAGTTACATTTGAATTTCAGATAAACAACATTTTTTAAACTTTTTTTTTTTAGTATGAGTATGTCCCATGCCGTATTGGCTGCCTGACCACCCAGTGCCCTCTCGGAATGTGAAAGACCGACATCTGTACTCTGCAAAACATCAGAGAAATGACTCACTCTGTGTATCTTCAGGATCCAACATCAGCTCAGTTCCCACTCTTACGGAGAGAAAGAGACTAAAATACATAGATTTTCAACGGCCATATTTTATGACAATGAGGAATGTTTAATGAATCTAGCATCTTCTATAATAATGGCAATGGTGGTCAATGCTTTTTTTAGGGCTGATGATACAGGGGTGGGCAAAAGTAGGTTCACAGGCGTTCTTATGGAAAAAGATACGCAGGTTACGATTATGACAATAGCTTTATTAGCTCTGTATTTCATGTACTCACAACTTAAACCTACTTTTACCTCCCTGTATACGTGGCCACCAACCTCTGAGGTGGCCCCCACGGATCTCTGGCTCCCGCGCAGTCCGCCCCACATCGTACCAGAGTTGGTCTGCGGGACCCGTGCCCTGCAGTTGAAGTAATGGCCACATCTGGATTTAGGTTTTAAAAGGCATTCGGGCTTTCATCTCCGGTGCCTGCGCTTGCTCTGGGGGAAGAAGCCCCACGGTGAGCAGCCCTGGGGAGCAGTCCACAGTCGCAGACGTGAACTGGGAAGGGGACCTACAGCCCCAGACAAGTCTTCTGAGATTGCAGCTCAGCTGGTAGCTCACCGCGACTTCGGGAGAGACCCGGAGCCCGAACCACCCAGCTGAGCCACGCCCAGATTCCTGAGCCTCAGAAACTGTGAGATAATAAATGTTCCTTGTTTCAAACTGCTGCCATTCAGAACCGTCTGTTATGCAGCAAACAGTAACTAACATATCAAGATATAATGTAATACGATGTATCTTGTATTACATATAATGTAATACTAAGTATCCATGTTCCCTACATCCTTTATTTGAGGTGGGAACTGTTACCGCCCCCATTTTACAGAAAGGCGAACTGAAGCACAGAAGGAGCTGCTCTAGTCACTTCGCTGGCTAGCACGGGTGAGTCTGTCCCCAACCCCTGCTCCTCCGATGGAACTTCCCAGCCTCCTCTGTGCCAGGTGCTGGGCTGAATCAGCCAGCTTTATCATTTCACCTTATGTAATTCTCACCTTCCAAAGAAAACCACCAGCCAGCACTCCCCAGACCTCCAAGCTAACGAGGTAACTTCGCACTTACCTGCGAGAGGCAGGCGGGGCAGATTTTGTCTCCTTCTCCCCAGTTTAGAGTCAGGCAAGCTGAGGCTCCGAGTGAGTAAGGGCTCTGCCCGAAGTTAAACATTACTCAGGAGCGGTGAGGCGGTGGCGTGGAGGCTGGAATCCTGCTACTCATCTCTCCAAACTGAGGGTTGCGGAAGGGCCTCCCCATACCCACTGCAGGAATCCGTGTGCGTGTGCGTGCGAGGGGAGTGTCCGCCGGGGGCCCTGGAAACCGCTCCTTCCTCCGTGTCCCGGTGCAAGCCAGAGGGAAGGAGAGCCCTCCCTTTCACCACCTCCTTTCTGGGGGATGGACTCCCCCCTGGAACAGAGACGGGCTTAAGAATGCTGCTCTCTCTGGGAGTCCAGCCCTCTGGCCTTTTATCCTAAATGCATCACCAGTTCTTTCCCTCCCTGGAAGTAAGAACCTTCGGCAGCCCCTCCCAGTTCCAACTCTTCAGTGGGTTTCTCCTCCCATGGATTAGGCTGCAACTAAGCACTGAGCTCTTTTCTTGACAAACAAAAGCAAACAAAATAGCCTTTGAAAACAGCAAGAGGGACTGGAGTTAGAACTGAGAGGGGGCTTCCCAAATGATCCCTTGCAGCAGATGGCCGAGAGAGGCTGGAGGTGGCGTATTCTTTCTTGAAGATCGTTCTGGAAAGTGTCCGTCTGTCTTCACCCGCGTGGTGCTGGGGCCGGTGGTGTGGGCAAGGGTGGTTGCAACCGTCGCTGCGTCTGTGGTGCGACTGGGGCGGAGAGCTACAGGTCGTCCTTCTAAGAATCAAGACAGGCCAGATGACTCGACAAAACTGGTGAGGTTCCTGCCACCTCTTGTCTCCTCTGAAGGGGGAAAATACATCTGCCACCTGTTTTAAGCGAGATCAGAGGAGCATTCTGCCTTCTGAGTCAGTCAGCGAGCTCCACGACCAACGGAACTTCAAAAGCACAGTCCACTCAGAGAGATTGCAGCCAGCGCCTGAGTCACCCGGGCCTGGCTGCAGAGCCAGGCCTGGAATGTCTGCGGTGGTCCTGCGGGCCGTGGGGGGGGGGGGGTGGCAGCCTGGTGACTCACCACCTGGAGCTGGTGGAGTCAGCAACCCCCAAGGGCGCTCCCGCTGTTCCTGCTCTCGTTCTGGGGCTTTGGCTGGAAGCCGGGAGGGTGTGAGAAGCAGGCCCCTGGGTTCTCTCGCAACAGCCCTGCCGTCGTCTCTTCCTCGCACACGCACATGTTCCTGGACTTGCGGGGCTCCTCGGACATCCCCGCCCCCACCGCTCCCTCTCCCCAACTGCCTGGGCCGTCAGCCCTTGGCTCTGGGCTTTGGGCTCCTTGCAGGGGTCCGCTCTGCCCCCCCCCCCCCACATGCTGGAAGTTCTCTGCGGTAGACTTGGGCTCTGCCACCTCCGGAGCTCCCCATCCTTATACACCCCCCGCCTTGCACCGAGTTCTGCACACCAGGGCACACCTCTCCTCCCGGAGTGAGTGGGTTGGCTAAGATGCCAGTGGGGTTTATTGCATGATTTTGATCAAGTCCCGAAGGCCCTTTTGGTGCCCAGAAACTTCTCAAGGCCACATTTGCCATTCCCTGCCCTCCCAACGTGCCCTGGGGGTGTGTGGGGTGGAGCCGTGAGCTCCCCTGGGAGTTTGGCATTTTCTCTGATCTCCTCAGCTGGTCCTCCCCACATCCCTCCTCTCCCCCAGGGCCCAGGCCACATTCTCCCCAGTCTGTGCTCTCCACTGCACCGCATGGGAGCCAGAGATCAAAGGGAAACAGGGAGGGGGGCTGCAGAGAGGTCTCCTCCAAGAGGGGGTGGGGGGGACTTAAAGCAAAACTGGCCTTTTGAGCAGCCCACCCCCCAAAACAAACCCACAGAGAATCAGGCCGGGTTCGGGGCTACCAAACCTATCACAGAACCTTCCTTGACTCTGGTGTGGCGTCAGGCCAGAGAATGAAGCCCACCATCTCGGAGACCCTCGGCCTCCAGGGGTTGGACACACCCTCTGAGCCCATCAGCGGTGCAGATCAGCAGGAAGCGGGACCCCGAGCAGCCCCCGCATGCCCTTTGGAGGCCGGGGCTGAATGGATGTCTAATCACTGCCCACTGGTAGCTGGGAGATGGAGTTCAGCGCACTTGCCCAGTGAGAAGTCCCTCCACACGGTGAAAGATAGGTGGTGGGCGGCCAAGGTTTCTAGGAAGCAGAGGGGGGTTGCCCTCCTGGTCCAGTTACCTGCCATCCCACACAAGCACTTAATTTCATGCTGAAGCTGCTCCTGGGCTGGGGAGCTCACCTGGAAAGAACATGAACGTGGCCTTTATCAGGCCATGGAACTAAGAAGCAGAGCAAGAGTTTGGTTGTAGTTTCCCGCCCCCCCCCCCGCCAACCCAGACCCCCACTTGCTTTTGTTGGCTTGGTTCATGCCTGCTCCTTTCGAGAAGAGTCTAAGTTGCCATGAGCTCCGTTGTTTATGGTTCCAAGTACCCATGGCATGTGGTGAATGGAGAGCCTGGGAAGAAGGCTTTGGGGGTCAACAGAAAAAGCATCTGTGCCCCGTGCCTTCCAGACTGAGAGCCCCTGTGGACAGAGCCATGCGCCAAGGACTTGGAGGAAGGCCAGGGGAGCACCCCAATGGGTCTTCCATCTGAGGGGGCAGACACAGCCCTCAGCCTCAGGAAGCCTCTGTAGGAGCGGGGAGATACAGCCCCTGGTCCCTCCCCCTGATCTCAGAGAGCCCCCACTGTGATCCGGGGAACCGAGCCCCAGCCCTGGAGAGCCCTCTGGGGGAATGAGAGTCACGGCATGACCTCAGGGCCCCCCAGGCTGATGGCAGGGACAGGACCGGAGGCCTCCCCCGTGTAGGAGAGGAGGGCACTTGAAGAGATGCCGTTGGATCTCGAAGCCCTTCGTGGGTAAGTAGAGCCGTAGCTGCTCATCTCCTTGCCGGGTTCAATGTGCCTCTTTTCTCTACTCTGTCCATCCCCTAAGAAGGCAGGCAGTTTGAGTGTAAGTTCTCAGCGAACCCAGCTACCACCAGGGAACCTCTGTCCTTCCTGTTCCCGCCACCTGCTGCCCTCTCATTTTCCAGTCTTTCCCCAGCCAGCTGGGACACCCTCCTACAAATCCCAGCCGCACACCGCCCCGTTGCCAAAGCTGTGGGCCGCTCCCCAGAGCTGGGGTGCCTGCAGCTCCACCCTGTGCCACCCAGAAGTAGCCTATTGTCTTTGGGGGTGTCCCCTTCCCCAGCTAGGGTTGCCTTACCCAGATCTGCCCTCAGCAGGGGCATCCGTCCTGACCCTACGGAGGGCGCCGGTGAGAGAAGAACGCTGGGACCCGGGCTCTGAAGGGAGGAGGGGGAGTAAAAAGGGGCACTTAAGGTCCCTACCCACGGGCGGGCCCAGATAGCAGCTGGAAACACCCAAATGTTAATCACCAATTAGCACAGTTCAGCTGGAAAGGGAAACTTTATTACGTGTAAAATGGACTTAATGTGGCAGGAGCTGTAGGCTTCATTTCTTGAGATAAGATGCTTTTAGGCTAATCAGGGGGTTCTCGATGCTGGGATATAAAGGAGGTGCAGCAGACCTCCGGGGGGTGCGCTCCAAAGGGCCGGCGTTAGGAGGAAGACACCCCCACCCCGTCCTGGAAGAGCTGGGAAGGAGAACATCTGGTGAGACAGAGGCTGGGACAGGGGACCCTGGGGAGAGGGGGGCCTGTGCACCCCTGCGGTGCCCAGCACCCCACTTTCTTCCCTCTGTACAAGAAATAAGGGACAAAGGCAGGAAGATGAGGTCTGGCAGCCCGCCCATCTTCAGCCTGGCTTTGGGGTTTGGGAGGAAGGCTCCTTACTGCTCTCCGTCTCCGTTGAAGACCGCCTGGACCAAGTGGGGCCAGCCCTCTGTAGAGGGGTCAGACTTCAGAGAGAACTTCCCTGAGCCGAGACAGTGAAGTCTGACAGGGGAGAGCGGGGTGGTTCTCCGTGTGGTGTTCACTTAGGGCACGGGGGCTGTGATGATTTAGGTGACAGGCCGATCTGAGAGCTGGAAGGCTGGCTGGTATGAACTCCGGAGGGCTCCTGGGGCGGGGGTGGGGGTGGAGGGGGGCGAGAATCTTGCCAAACCACATGCCTGTGATGTCTCGCTGCAGGAGCCGGGAAGGGGGGCTATCCAGGCACCTGAGCCTCCGCTGCTTTCTTCTGCCTGGATCTCTTCCCCACTGCCCCCCCCCCCACTCAGACTCCACTTAAAAAACAAAACAGAAAGAAGGCTCACCTCCTGGCCAGACCCCTTGTTCCTGGTAGTTACTGACTGTCATGCCCTGCACGCCCCGCCCTAACACACATCCTGCTCCAGACCCCAGGGCCCAGTGTCCCCAGCTTTGAGAACCCCCCCGGGGGCTCCGGGGTGCCAGCAGCGCGTTGCCTGGCCAGCTGTTCCCTCTGCACAGTGCCTCCCCCTCATCCTGGTCCTGTTCTCTCTCAGCTCAGGAAGCAACCCTTGGAAGATACTAGCCATGAAGATCTCTCTGCTGCTGGTGTCCCTGCTCCTGGCAGTGGTGCTAGGAGATGAAGAAGAGGGTCATTCCAGGTAGGGGTGAGGAGGGAGGGCCAGCCACCAGGAAGGGGGCCGGGGCGGAGGGGATGTCTGGCTCCTGGCTTTCAAGGGAGGCATGATCCCAGGCCAAGAGGAGAGAAGCTCCAGGGGAAAGTCTGCCAGCAGTGTGAGTGCAGAGTGAGGACAGAATATTTATGGGGAGCTACTGTTGCAGCAGGAGAGATGGTGGTTAGATCTCTGGAAGGACTTCTCAGTGGCTGTGTCTGAAGTAGGTGACAGTAGCTCCCTTCACCATTCATTTATGTATGCGTTTGATGAAAAATGTTTAAAGATTTTATTTATTTATTTTTAGAGAGGGAAGGGAGGGAGATAAAGAGAGAGAGAGAGAAACATCAATGTGTGGTTGCTGGGGGCCATGGCCTGCAACCTAGGCATGTGCCCTGACTGGGAATCGAACCTGTGATGCCTGGTTCACAGTCCGAGCTCAATCCATTGAGCTATGCCAGCCAGGGCCATTTGATGAAATTTTATAGCGGACCCCATGGGCGCCAGGAGCGGGGGATACATTTGAAGCGTGGCCCTCAAAGGCCACCTGCCCTCGAGCATACACGCCCAAGGGCAAAACAGACAAAGACCCCACCTAGGCACACGGCAAACTGCTGTAAGTACTCAGGAAAAGCGGAGTGTTAAGAATGAGCATAACAGGGGGCTCTGTGTTTGGGGGACCCACAGAGACCTAGCCAAGTAAAGAGCTGGGCATTCTCGGAGGCAAGGACAAGATGCACGTTCTTGTCGATTCGGTGACGTAAACTTGAGGCACGGCTGTCAGAGACACGTGCGAGGAGACACAGTGTCGTGGGGAAGGACGTAGCCCTGGGCCCAGGCCACTTGGGGGTGAATCCTGGGCCTGCCACCTGTGCTGTGCGCTGCACTAACCTCTCTGCACCCTGGTTTCCTCATTCACAAAAGGGGGTACAGATAGTGTCTCCCCGCTAGCGGCAGTGTGAGGATTTGAATGAGTGTGTGTTAGAGGCCCCGTCTCACGTGTAAGGACTCACTATTGTTGGCACTGACTGGGGACCAACGACCTCAGCCAGGTGTGGCAGGTGTGGCCGGGGCAAGGGAAGTCGAGGAGGGGACTGTGATTCAGCCCTTTGGGGTAAGGGGCCTCCCCCCAATCCCTCGTCGCCCAGAAGCCAGAGCCACACACACACTGAGGATGCAGGAAGTGGGCCCTTAAGCTGAAAATGAAGTCCAAGCAGCTTAATACATGGATAAGAGGGTGTCTTCACAAATACTGAGTCCCAACAAATCAGCCGGTTCGTTTTCAGACATTGGCCTCTGGTCCGAGACAGTCAGTCATTCACGCTGGCCTTGTGGTTCCCCGCACCCCCTGACCCCCCTCATGGTGCCCTGGTTTCTGTGTCTCTCCCCTCCGGGCCCCTCAGGTTCCATGCTGAGGGCAGAGGCTCGGGACCCCGAGGCCCCAGGTACGCCGAGGGGACTTTCATCAGTGACTACAGCATCGCCATGGACAAGATCCGCCAACAGGACTTTGTGAACTGGCTGCTGGCGCAGAAGGGGAAGAGGAACGAGTGAGTCGCTGTGCAAGCCCCTCCGCTGCCGGAGCCTCAGTCTCCCTTCCTGGAGGCAGGCCGGGGGCCACAGGTGGCCACGCGCCACGCGATGCACAGCTCCAGGTGGCGCCTCTCACTTAGACGACGACAAGGGGCTGGACAGCGTGGCGGCCCCCGATTCGGGCAGCAGTCCCGTCTAGGGGCGGGACTAGGGCAGCTTGCCCCTATCTCCACCTGGGGGGGCGGGGGTCCGTGGAGATGGCAGGGCTCGCCAGGGATGTCCAGGGGGCTGGGGATGAAGGCAGGGGGAGCTGAGCTGGTGCCGAAGACTTTTGGGTGGCGGCCCCTTCGGACCTTGGAAACAGAACAAACCGTCTTCGTCCCACTTCCATCACTTTGCCAAAGCTCCCCAGGCCCTTGCTGTTCGGTCAGCGTGGTGGGTTCTGGAAAGCTGGTCACTGGCAGCTGAAGATGAGCCCGGTGGGGAGGGTGAGTGAAGGGAGAGGTACCCTCTGTTCCGCCACCCACTCCCTTATCTTTATCTTACCAGCTGGAAGCACAGCATCGCTCAGAGGGAGGCCCAGGCCCCAGAGCTGGCCCATCAATCTAACAGGAAGAAGGAGGCCAGGGAGCAGCGGGGGTGAGTCAGCCCACAGGGGAAGGAGGGGTGTGGGGCCTCCTGACCCACCCCCACCTCATTGTTCCCGCTCCCAGGCTCCAGAGTAGGGCCAGGCCCCAGATAAGCAGCCCCTTCCAGTCGGAGTTCAAAGAAGGGTCTTCACTGAACTCTTGGAGGTCAGCCTAAGCTTAAGGGAGAGGCCTGGAAGGAATGGGGGTGGGGTCCTGGGAGGAGTTTGGGGGCCAGGGTTTCTAAGATTGATGACTTAGTGAGTGTTCAGGAGAGGGACAGTGAAAGAGACCTCGGGAACCGGCTTCCCCACTTCTCCCTGCCACCCGTCAAGAAGGATATTTATGGAACGGGGACCTTCCTGCCCATGGCCAGTCCCTGCAATCAGTTACCCCCTCTCTGAGGAAGCCGAGGCATCTATAGCACAGGTCGTCATGAAGAGTGAATGTCGCCCTGGCCGGGGAGCTCAGTGGGTTAGGGTGTTGTTTCCACACATCCAGGTTGGTTTCGGGTTCAATTCCCGGTCAGGACACATGCAACAATCAACCAGGGAATGCATAAATAAATGGAACAACAAAGGGGTGTTTCTCTCTTTCTCCCCCTTCTTCTCTCCCTCACTCAAATACAAATTAAAAAAAAATAGAGTAAGTATTCACCAAATCATCCCTTGGGGGTCAGGATGCAATCTGGGATCCCTGTGGAGGTGGAGGGGCTGGACGTGCCCCACCAGAGCTCTGTCGGGCTCTGCCTGTGCCGAGGGGCCTGCACCCCGGCAGACAGATGGGCCGGAGCTTTACAGCCGAGGTGACTGAGTGGCAGCTGTGTTGACTCCCTGCCCCACCCCCAGCTGCCCCCTCGCCATGCCGGTCCCTGTATTTACTCTCTCTGGGTGCGGCCCAGGCGAAGGCGGCCTGCCTGAGGCTTTCTCCTCTGCAGCGCCCTGCTCAAGAAGCCCGGTGACGAAGATTCGCTGAAGAACTTTCTGATTGCGGAGCTGCTGGCCTGGATGGCGGATCAGACGGAGCTCTGCAGGCTCAGGTGGCCGAGGCGGGAGGCTCGGGCTGTCTCGCGTGTGGTTATCAGCTTGGGCGTGGGGGTCAGACACGGGTTCAGATGTTCACCTTAACCTGCGCTGGCAGATTCTTAGACTCTCTGACCCTCCGTGTTTTCATGAAAACCGGGGCTGTGTAAACCACTTCACAGGACTGTTGTGGGTTTTAAGTAAGACAAGGCAAGGAAAAAGCTGAGAGCCACATCTGTAGAGTAGTAAGAATTCAGTGATGTCGGCAACTATCAGGACTGCTTGCTCTTCTTCCTCAGCTTCCTCTGAGTGCGGTGCTGCTCTCACCTCCCGGGCCCACCGGACAGGCCTGCCCGCCCTATTTCCTCTGCTCCAGGGTGGAGCTTTCCCTCCGTTCCCTTGTGCCATGGCGCCTTCCCAGCGGCAGAACCGATAGAGTTGGAGGCACGACGTTGCCCTTCTCTGTAGCTGCCACTGGCCTCAATGGTCCTTGAAAGCACCCCGCCTGCCAGGAAGGGCATCTATCCAGTCCATTCTGTTCTAGAAGAAAGGGATCGCTAAATGCCATGGGGAGACCCAGGCCACCTGAAGGGTGAGCCAGGACGTTCATTCAGAACGCAGACACTGAGGCTCAGAAACCAAAGTACATTTAGACTTCGGTGCCTGGGAGCTAGGGAGGGAGTGAGGGGACAAATGTGGGAGGACTTCCTGGAAGAGGATGAGAAGGGAGAGAGGAAGGCCACCAGGACAACAGAGAAGAGAGGATGAGAAAATCTCCATAGGAAGGTGGGTCATGGTCTCTGTGGTCTTTAAACGTCGTTTTGATTATTTATACTTAAAAAAGTAATTTGGAGGCAGGAGAAGGTCAACTCTGGCTGGGCACCAGGAGAAATTCACTTTGCAGATGCCGAGCTGATAACTACCCTCCTCTCTCCACTCCCCACAGGTTGCAGTGATGGACTCAACCCAGCTCAGGACTGCTGGACTCTGCCCTTCACGGACGCGGCTCCTGCCTCGGCCCCACTCCTGGGTACCCCAGAGAAGCCAAACCAATAAAGTTCAAGCTGCAATACATCTTTGTGTCTCTTGTCAATACCTATTCAAACGTCTGCTGAGCGCTAATGGGACATTTGTCTGCGTGTGCTCCACCTAAGGAGAAGAAGATGTGGCTTTTACCCGTCTGTTAATTCATCTGCTTATTCTACGCTTACTGGGAACTTACCGTAAGCAGGGACTGTGCTGAACGCTGGGCGCCCAGCACTGAGGACACGGACACCATCCTCGTCCCTGCGAGGGGTTTCCAGTCTAGTGATGAAGACAGACATCTACCTTGAAACACACAAATGTGGTCATCACACAACATGCTGGGCTAGGTGAAGACGGGGCTGCTTAGAGAAAGGACAGAGAAAGCTTGTCCAGGTGGAGAGGAGAGTCAGGAGGGCCTTCTGGAGAAGTGACATGTAAGCTAAATAAGATCTGAAGGATAAAAATGGCCAAAGGATGAGTGGAGCCTGAATACGTGTTAGCATTAAGGTGTTACTGTTACAGCAAAGCGGGCGACGGGGAGAACAGAACGAGTAGAGGCTGGACAAGCAGGCAGAGGCAGGGCTTTGAAGACCATGTTTCTATTTTATGTACTTATTTGTAGAGAGCGGGGGAGGAGGGAGAGAGAGAGGGAAACATGGATGTGTGGTTGTCACTTACGTGCCCCTAACCGGGGACCTGGCCCACAACCATGGCATGGACCCTGACTGGGAATCGAACCAGCAACTCTTTGGTCCACAGGCTGGCACTCAATCCACTGAGCCACACCAGCCGAGGCTAGAGACCAGGTTTAAAGCTTTTGAATTTTATCCTCAAGTGCAGAGACAAGTCCCTGAAAGGTTTTAAGTGGGGCCAATTCTGAGAGGATCTATTTGCATTCCCAAACAATCACGCTGGTGACAGTGAGAACTAGACTGAAATGTACAGGGATGAGCGTGCAGGAGCAGCACGGAGGCTCCTGCAGAGTCTCGGGTTTACACTAGGATGATGGTAGTGGGGGTGGAGGGCCGCGGGCAAACTCAATTCATCCAAAAGTCAATGCCTTTATCTCCCCGGGTTCAGAACCTTCCCCCCTGCAGCTGGCTGCCTCCTCCCAGGGCCCTGTGTCCGCTCCACAGAAGTGCCTTCTCTCCCTTGCTTGAGTCTTTTCCCGGAATGTCCTCCCCCTCTCCCCTTGATCTAGTCATCTAGGGGGTGCTGGGGTCAAACACACCTAGATTCCAACCACTTACTAGCTCTGTGACTTAGCAAGTTTGTTTCTCTCTTACACTCAGTTTTCTGTCTTTAAAAAGATTAAAAAGTATCCACCTCATAGGGTTAAAGTAAATATTAAGATAATATGTGAAGTCCTGGCTGGTGTAGCTCAGTGGATTGAGCACGGGCTGTGAACCAAAGCATCTCAGGTTCGATTCCCAGTCAGGGTACATGCCTAGGTTGCAGGCCATGACCCCCAGCAACCGCACATTGATGTATCTCTCTCTCTCTGTATCTCCCTGCCTTCCCTCTCTAAAAATAAATTAATTAAATCTTTTAAAAAAAAGATAATGTATGACACAAAATAAGTGGTTGATAAATGTTAACTTTTGTTATTATTATTATTTTTTATTTTCTAAATTTCACTTATTTACTTACTTTTAGAAAGAGGGGAAGGGAGGGAGAAAGACAGAGAGAGAAATATGTGTATGTGAGGGAAACATTGATTGATTGCCTCTCATATGCACCCCGGCTGGGGACTGGCCTGCTACCCAGGCATGTGCCCTGCCCAGGAATTGAACCGGCAACATTTCACTTTGTGGGACAGCGCCCAACCACCTGAGCCACACCTGTCAGGGCTTTATTTATTTATGTTTTTAATCCTCAGCCAAGGACATGCTTATTGATGCTAGAGACAAGGGAAGGAAGGGAGAGAGAGGGAGAGAAACATCGATTGGTTGCCTCTTGTGCACGCCCCAACCGGGGACCGAACCTGCATCCCAGGCATGTGCCCCCAACCTGGGATGGGACCCACGACTTTTTGGTTTATTGGACGACAGTCCAATCAACTGAGCCACATTGGCCAGGGCTAACTTTTGTCATTATTCTCATGCACCTAAATGTCAGTTTAAAAACACAAGGGTATTATTCTCAAATCAGAGAGAGGCAAACTGGATGGCTGAAGGTCTGGGCCAGTAACATACATGAGCAAAGTGGGGAGGGTGTAAGACAATGGGAAGGACGGGGACTGTGAAAATGGAAGAGACACACTCGCCTAAGAGCATTCTTGTGCCAAACAAAACTCTTCAGAGAGCTGAATGTGCCTGAGGGCTGCCAGTTTGCCATCCCTTCCAGCTCTGACGTACTTGGTTTCCTCTCCTCTAGACTCCTGGAGTCCTAGGAGTGTGTACCACACAATTTAGAGCGTGCCTTTGTTCAGAGGGTGGGATTCTTCATGATAGAACGGATGGTCTTGGAGAGAAGTTTGCATCTATGTTTCTGGAGTCTTGGGGTGTCTCTGGAGTCAGTAAATCAGGAAGGGTTATTTAAAAAATATTTTGTAGCCCTGGGTGGCATAGCTCAGTGGATTGAGTGTGGGCTGTGAACCAAGGCACCGCAGGTTCGATTCCCAGTCAGGGCACATGCCTGGGTTGCAGGCCAGGTCCCCAATGGGGGCCACGTGCGAGGCAACCATACATGGATGTTTTTTTCTCTCTTTCTCCCTCCCTTCCAGTCTCTAAAAATAAATAAATAAAATATTTAAAAATATTTTGTGCAATGTTTTTGTTATGGGGCAGGCATTGTGCTGTCTTTCTTAAATTTTAAAAAAATTATTGAATTTTTGAGAGAGAGCGAGAAACATCGATTTGTTTTTCCACTCATTCATGCATGCATTGGTTGCTTCCCGTATGTGCCCTGACAGGGATTGAACCCTCGTCTCTGGGTCACACTGGAAGAAGAGTTGTCTTGGGCCACACATTAAAGACACAAACACTAGCGAAAACTGATGAGCAAAAAAAAAAAGTTTTAAGTAAATTTACAATTTTGTTGGGCTGCGTGCAGCCTGCGGGCCGTGGGTTGGACACCCGTGCCCAGGGCTGTGCTCGGTCTTTCACAAACATTTCTTCAGCTTTTGAAGTTTTTTATTTTTGTTTGTTTGGTTTTTGCTGTTCAAATTTATAAACATCACTTGAAAAAGTCATGGTGATCTCATTTAAAGCTGCATCACAACCCTTTAAGACAATGCAACCATAATAGCTGTTAGCCACGCACTTCGCTGCCTCCTTGAAGCAGACGATAAAAGCCAGTGCTCTTAGCCACCTCGCCAGGAGGCCAGTAAGTCACTTCAAGCAAGGAGGGCATCGCTGATAACCAGCATTCGCGGTGTGCTGTGGCAGAGTGCTTCTGAGAGCCATCGTTACGTTGTCGGGAATTTTGAGAACATGTAAAACCATCGATAGCTTGGAATTGGCCATGGTTAGAGTATTTATACCAAGGAAATCAGCAAATGCTATATAAATCACAGCTCCTCCCTTCCCACCCAGAGAGGTGGTTGTTAAACATTTACCAGCACATTACTGGTCAGCATAATTTTTCTAAAATTATAAAGGAGAACAAATGTGTCTGAATAAGGGAATGAGCATGTCTGCTTGAGGGTGGCCACGAGGTTTAAGGGCCAACGTCTGTACGTAAGGGAACAGGTGTGCATGTGCATTTGAGGGTATGAACAGAGAAATCTGAGGTCATGGGTGTTGGTGAGGGATCAGCGTGTGCGCCTTAAGGAGTCCCACAGTGTGAGTCAAAAAGTAACAAATGAAGCAGGCGTATCTAGATGGTGTCAGTGCATACTTGAAGGACCAAGTTTTCGTGCCGGGGAGTGGTGCAGTAGGAGGAGGACACAAGGTCAGTGTATCAGTGTGAGACCTGCGTGCTTTCCACAGAAAGGGGTGGGTAGGCATGTTGGAGGAGACTGGTGTGTATGAGGGCGGGGTCTGAAAAGGCTGGTATCTGCTGAAGGGGACAAATCTGCGTCTGAGAAAGTTTGCGTGTAAGGAGGCTTATGCAATCCGAGCATAGTGTCTGAGGGTGTGTATGAGAATGAACTGAAGGACGATTATGAAACATTGAATGATTGTTTTAGGCTTGGCCCTTGCATCCATTAACATTATATTCTGCCTCAAATAACAGAAAACACACAAGTAACAGTGGCTTTAGCAAGATAGAACATTTCTCTTTCTTCTAAACATCCAACGGCAGGCAGTCTAGGGCTGATGTTAACAACTTTGCTCCATGAAATCCTCAGGGACCCAGGCTCATAGAGCTCACAGCTACTCTCTCTCTCTCTCTCTCTTTTTAAATATTCTTTTTAGAGAGAGGGGAAGGGATGGAGAAAGAGGGAAACATTGATGTGGGAGAGATATGTTGAGATACATCGATCAGTTGTCTCTCACATGCCCCCATGTCCCCAAATTGGGCCCTGGCCTGAAACTGCCCTGACTGGGAATTGAACCAGTGACCTTTTGGTTTTGCAGGCCTGCTCAAAATTTCACCTTCTTAATGCATGGCAGAGGCCGTCTGGGAGGGGATTCTGGGATACCTTCGATCCCTCTGTCACTCCCGTCTTTTTGCTGAAGCCATCAGATGGAGGCACTACGCAGGTCTGTGCTTGTTTAGCAGACGTTTATTGAGCAGCTGCAGTGCACAGCACTGGGTGAGGCTGTTGGCTGTGTGAAGACGGGCACCACATAGTATAGTTCCTGCTCTCAAGGAGCTTACAGCCTAGGGGAGCAGACACATGCAGACGACTAATCATATTTCCTTGGATGTCTTCGTAAAACTACTTTATGGATTCTCAAAACACTGAGACACACCAGGCCAACTAAACATCCTGCCACCAATCTCTGCACCCAGCACCCATCCTCACTGGAAACCTCTCTGATAACATTCTTCACCTTGGTTCCACGTTCTCTTTTTTTTTTTTTTAAACAGTGGGAAACACCAATCCACTGCATCCCACATGCCCCCAACTGGGGACCTCGCCTGCACCCCAGACATGTGCCCTGACTGGGAATTGAACCTGCAGCCTTTTGGCTTACAGGCTGGTGCTTAATCCACTGAGCCACACCAGCCAGGACCCAGCTTAGCTCTTTCTTTAGAGCATACCAATACATCCAAATGACAACGCCATCTCTTCTGTGATGGCTTGCAGCCCTATTTCCACAAGTTCAAAGCTACTCTTAATTATTTCTCCAACTTCATGCTGTGGTCTCCCCATCTCCCTAAGGCACCACCCTCGATGCCCAAGCCACAAAACTGAGCGTCCTTCTGACTTTTCCCACTCACTCTTCCCCCATCTGACCAGTTTTGTCATTTCACCTTAATATCTCCTGACTGTGTCCCCTTCTCTCTATCCTTATTGCCACTATCTTAGGTCCTCATTATTTTTAGGTCAGATTGCAGAAACTAAATGAAGTATAGGTTGCCAGTACTTTTTCTAAAACAAAAACTTGATCTTATTACTTACTGATTTAAGAATCCTCCATTACTCCTTCTTTGTTAGACTCAATAATGCTATTGAAATCATCTATGGGGGGTGGGTAATCACCAGTGGAGCTTCCTGAACACACAGGTGACTAATACCACTCCAGACCTGATGAATAACAATCATAACTAATATTTACTGATGTGCCAGGCATTGCACCAAATGACTTGTTGTGTACTTTCTGACTTAATCCTCACAACTTCGTGAGTAGTTGTTTTCACAACTATGGAAACTGCAATGCATCTGCCAGAAGTCACTGGACCGTATGCAGTGGAAGTAAGTTATGGAGCCAGGCGATCTAATTCCAGAGTCCAAGTTCTTAACTGTAAGGCCTTCACCTTACAGCTAGAATCGGTTAGAATCTATGCGTGTGACTTTCACAGGCAAGCTCCATTAGTACAGAATGGATACCGGTTTCTGTTCTATACGCATAGAACCCTCGGTGCCTAACCACCGGGTGGCCGGCCGACGAGCATTGGCGGCTGGGGTGGTAGTGGAGGAGCAGTCACAAGAGGATGAGAGGGTCCGAGGCGTCCACTGGGCGGGGAACACACGGCCGCAGCAAGACAGCCTTGGATCGGCATCCGGAGACCGGGTGTTCCCGGCCACTTGGCCACCAACGAAAGAGCCCCTAACCCCCGGCGGTGGGAGACTGGGAGCCCCGCGGCAGGAAGTCGGCGCGTAGCTTCCGGCGCACGGAGATGACGTAGGACCGCGCTTCCGCATTGGGGAGCCCGCCGCGGATCCCGGGAAGCGGAGACCGGGGGTCCCGGCAGCGGGGCGGCCCGCGGGCCCACGGCGGGGATGCACCGCCGCGGGGTGGGAGCCGGCGCCATCGCCAAGAAGAAGCTTGCCGAGGTGAGGGGCAGAAGGCGGACCCACAGCCGTCCTTGACCCGCGGGAGCTGGAAGTCTGTGGAGCAGAGAGCACTGTACGCTCAAATCGCCTCCCGACAGAGTCTGGCGCGGGCTTCTCGGGTCCCCGGGAACGGAGTTTCTCCAACTTCCGGTAGATTGGAATGTCAGCATCCCCAGATCCACCAGCCCTTTCCCCCATGTCCCTAAATTCGACTGCAGACGAGTCGTCCATTCTACTTCCTCGTCCTTTTCCCTAAGAAGAACCGTTTAAGAGAGACCCTCCTCTGTTCACCCGAGGCAGTACAAGTGGGAGCCCCCAGCGTCCACTCCCAACTTCTCATGCTGGTCTCTTTGTCTGACAGGCCAAGTATAAGGAGCGGGGGACTGTCTTGGCTGAGGACCAACTGGCCCAGGTGAGTCGGTTGGAAGGCTGCAGACAGGAAGGGAAGACCCCCGCAAGGTTAGACAGGACACCTTTGACATAAACTAGACTGTTGGGATTGAACTAAAATAGGGCACTTGGCAAGTCCTGATTTCTGGGCTCCTCAGATCTTTTAGGTGACTTGCTAATAATAACAACATCTTGGAGCCATTACATGCTCAGAGCCTCCCAGGCATGAGCCCATTTTCTTTACATAGATCATCTTGTTCATTCATGGTAGAAGGAAGGAGCACTATTCTTCCTAGTTTAAGATTGAGGACCTGAGGTGTTAATTCATTTATCCAAGGTCACATGGGCAGTAAGTGGTAAAAGCTGTTTGATTTAGGTCTTTTGAAGTTTTTACTTTAAATGTCTAAGAACAATATGGAAATATTACCTAAGCTACGCACCCATCGCCACCACCGTCACAGCTAGGTGCACACCGCAAGTGTGTGTGAGTGGTGGGGGTGTGGCTCCTGCGCAGTCCCTTTTTCTAATGCTTCCCTTTTCAGTGCTTGCCCTGAGTTTACTCCGTGATTGTAACTGGTGCAGAAGAGGACGGGGAAATGGGCCCTTGAGCGGAGGAGAGATAGTAGACACAGGCTGTGCTCTTCAGAGGCTCCCTCCCACTCATGGGCAGATGGTCTGCAGGCAACAACAGGAAACAGTGACTGTAACAGTGTGTAAATTGCTAATATGTAGCAAATGGGATACTGGGCCAGAAGTGGTTACCCTTGGTGGGGTAAAAGATAGGTTTCTGAGAAGGAGTACTACAAGTAGGACGTCAGAAACCCCCTCAGAAGATTTGTGTTTAGCTTTGGAATGGGATCTGGCGGCCCCACAGCCTCTCCCTCAGGGATTCCTTGTCTGGAGTTCCTCCTCCAGGGTGTCCACGACTCAGACTGGACAAGCGCTGCGCACGAGCGCACGGCAGGCTCGCTTTTTCTCCTGTCCGGCCTTTCTGCCAGTGGTCGAAGATTTCCCACTGTGTGAATGCCGCACTCCCTCATTTTTAAGATAAAATGGGTTATTAGGTTTGTCTTCAATTTAATAACAGTTTTCTTGGGAAAAAGAAGGACCACAGCCCTGGCTGGGGTGGCTCAGTGGATTGAGTGCCGGCTTGCGAACGGAAGGGTTGCTGGTTGGAGTCCCCGTCACAGGGCACATGTCTGGGTTTTGGGCCATGTCCACTGTTGGGGACATGTGGGAGGCAACCACACATTGATGTTTCTCTCCCTCTCCCACCCTTCCCCTTTCTCTAAAAAAGAAGTAGTACTCCATTAGATGTGCACGTTGATTGTTAGATACTCCATTAGATGTGCACATTGACTTGAGATCAAGAATACGTGGAATAAAAATGTGTATTTAAGAATTGAAGAAACATTACAGCGTCTCATTTCTGCTGACAACAGAACTGTGAAGGAGAGGCAGGGATCCAAAGAAAGGGGATAGAAAACCAGCGTAATGGCAGGCCTGGGGACATAGGCTGTCTCAGTCTTTGCCCTGCCACTTGGCCAGCGGCTTATTTTTGGCATCTGATTATCACCTAGGTGGGCCGCCCCTAACCTCCCCCTTGTCCGTCTTACAGATGTCGAAGCAGTTGGACATGTTCAAGACCCACCTGGAGGAGTTCGCCAGCAAGCACAAACAGGAGATCCGGAAGAACCCCGAGTTCCGGGTGCAGTTCCAGGACATGTGTGCCACCATCGGGGTGGACCCGCTGGCCTGTAAGGGGTTGTCGGTGGGCGGCTAGGGTTCTCCTGGGGTTCCAAAGGGACAGAGCTACCTGGTTGTCATCTTTGCTCTTACAGGGGCGTCTTCTAGAAGGGCCTGCAGGGAGATACAGAAAGTGTTGTCTTTAGGGAGTGCGCACCAGGGTGCTGAGTGCCCCGTTTGACGGGGAAGGCGGAGAGGCTGAATGCAGTTGGAGAAGCCAGTGTACACGATTTTCCCTTGAATGACCTACAGTGGAACTTTTTTATGGCTATTTTTCCCCTTTATTAAAAAAATAACTTAGTTTTAATGAAAATAGTATGTGATCATGCAATCAACAAATGACGGAAAAGTGGGGGAAAGAAGTCTTCTGACTCTGTCCTATAACTGTAGAGATAAAGTACTCTTTAACAGTTTGAGGCTATATCTTTCTAGGCACCTCCGTCATATTTGTACACTTTGTTTTACATACATGGGATTAAGGCTATCATTCCAACTCTACAACTGGCATTTTTCACTCAGTAAAGTGTGGTCTTCAGTAGATTCTTGAATGCTCGGTTTGCATGTTTCTCTTAGCCTTGTCTGGACCATATGTCCCATCACGTTTCACTGTAGGCTTTGGGAAAGGAAGACTCACTTATACAGTATCCTGAGCCAGAATCAGCAGCCAAGTAGACACGCCTTTCAGATTCCCTGTGCTTTGGAACTGCCGGAGCCTGTTCTGTAGCAGGAGTTGCCAAGAGTCCGACTGCGTCGAGGATCCTGAGTAGTAAACGGAGCAGAAGGACTTGGGCTAGGCAGGGAGGACTTCCCACGGGACAGATGTTTTAATCTAGCTTTGGAAGAAGAGGCGTAACTGATGAATAACCTGGCTTTTGTTTTTCTGTCTTTTAGCTGGAAAAGGCTTTTGGTCTGAAATGCTAGGCGTGGGAGACTTCTACTACGAGCTGGGCGTCCAGATTATTGAAGTGTGCCTGGCCCTGAAGCACCGGAACGGAGGTGAGGGTGGCTGGGTTCTGTGGGCTTCTCCGAGAGGGAGAGCACCTTGGACGGTTGCCTTTCACACCCTGTACCCTGCAGACCAGCAGCGTCTTGAGAAACATCTTAGCTCCTTCATGCAGTTGTATCCCTGGTAGGTCTCCATGGCCAAGGGTAAATGGAATTACCTGAATGATTATCTCCATTCTCCAAAGATCTTTGGCTAGGAAGGTCTGGCCCCTAGTCATTGCAGAAAATAGTAGGGAGGTAGGAAAATAAGGTATGGTGATGCCAGCCGTGTGTCTGTGCTGTCCAAAATGTGACCTTAGATATGGCCATCCAGTAATGTCATCTTATTTGTTTAATTTTTTTAGACAGAGGGAAAGGGAGAAAGGAGGAGAGAAACATTGGTGTGCGAGAGTAACAGATTGGTTGCCTCTCATGAGCCCCCTACTGGGGACCTGGCCCATAACCCAGGCTTGTGCCCTGACTAGGAACTGAACTGGCGTCCTTTCATTTCTCAGGCCAGCGCTCAGTCCACTGAGCCACACCCTCAAGGGCTGGTAGTGTCATCTTAATAAGCACAGTAAATGGTCTGTTGAAGTTAAGAAAGAGAAAACTTAAAACTAGTTATAAATCATTTGTTATAACCCTGGCCAGGTAGTTCATTGGTTAGAGCGTCATCCTGGTATATCAGGGCTGTGGGTTTGATCTCCAGTCAGGGCACATACAAGTATCAACGATGAATGTATCAGTAAGTGAAAAAATAAATCAATCTCTCAAATCAATAAAATCTTCAAAATATTGGTTATAAATAGACACAGTATTGATGTCAATAGAGCATTTATAGTTTTTCTCTTCAAAATTTTTATTTATTGATTTTGGAGAGAGAGAGAGAACAAGGGAGAGAAAAGAGAAACACCGATTTGTTGTTCTACTCACTCATGTGTTCAGTGGTTGTTTCTTGTGTGTGCTCTGGCCAGAGATCGAACTCACAGCCTTGGCGTATGGGGACAACACTCGGACCAACTGAGCTACCTGGCTAGGGCTTAGTTTCCCAAAGATGCTGCTGCCCTTTTTTTTTTTTTTGGTTTATTTGGGGTGGGGGTGGTGTTTTGTTTTTTTTGTTTTGTGTGGGTGGGTTCCCCCCCCCCCCCATAAAGGCAATCCTCAGTCTGCTTTCTGTCCCCCTCTCCTACAGGTCTGATAACTCTGGAGGAGCTACATCAACAGGTGTTAAAAGGAAGGGGCAAATTCGCCCAGGATGTCAGCCAGTAAGTCTTAACTTCCACCGCCTTGGAGTATAGAAAGGGCTTTTAAAAATCGGGTGGATTCTCTTTACTGCTTGTATGTCTAGGATAGTTTAGGAATCATTTTTATTCCTTGTCATGATCAGAAAAAGTTTTTATTTTGGGAAACTCAAAATACAGAGAGCGATTTAAAAAAACAAAAACAAAAAACCACCCATTATTTCTCAACTGAGAGAATACATCTGTTAAATATTTTGTTATATTTCTAAGTTTTTTTTTTTAAGATTTTACTTTTTTATTTTTAGAGAGAGGAGGAGAAAGAGAGGGAGAGAAACATCAATGTGTGGTTGCCTCTTGCACGCCCTATACTGGGGACTTGGCCTGCAACCCAGTTGTGTGCCCTGAGTGGGAACCGAACTGGTGACCCTTTAGTTCGCAGCCTGTGCTCAATCCACAGAGCTACACCAGCCAGAGCTACTAAGTATTTTTTTCATGTGTACCTGTGCATTTTTTAAACATTCTTGGGTCTGTATGTATTCCTGAGATTATTTGAGATCATGGAGAATAGAGCAGGCACCGAAAGAGGCCCGGGAAGAGTGTTGGGGTCAGAAGATAGGTACAAATTGACTCCAGTTTGAGAAAAGGTAAAAAAAGCTATTGGTATGTGGGCTGGATGGGTGGTCTGCACATTTTGTAGGTTTTCTTGTACCCTAATTTGAGTTAGTTGTCAACTAAGAAATCAGAAAGTCTGGCAGTACTGGGCCTGAATTCCCAATGGCAGTAAACAGTTCTGGATTGTCCCCATTAGAATGGATAGGCTTCCTCTATTTTGCCCTAGTGCACATTACTCCCTGTTGTCTCCCACGTTTAGCTCGTTCACTCACACTTTGTGATGGACCCCCGAAGGCCTGATTACTGAGTGCAGAGACTGACCATCCCCTTGAATATCCAAGCACCATTTGGTGCCCTTTAACCTTCTCTTTACCCACCTGTTCAAATGCTGTGCAGCCCCTGGAGTCTTCTGTCAGGGTTCTCTGCCCAGGGCAGAGCTGAAACTGCATGGTGGCTAGGTCTGCTCTGCCCAGGATCCTTAAGCAGCTCTTCCTCACCTTAGAGACGACCTGATCAGGGCCATCAAGAAACTAAAGGCACTTGGCACTGGCTTCGGCATCATCCCCGTGGGCGGCACTTACCTCATTCAGTCCGTTCCAGCTGAACTCAATATGGATCACACCGTGGTGCTGCAGCTGGCCGAGGTACCGCTGTGCCTTCTGAGTGTGTGTGTGTGTGTGTGTGCACACATGCATGGCAAGGGCTGTCTGGGAGGGGGTTCTGGGATACCTTTGACCCCTCTGTCATTGCTGTCTTTTTGCTGAAGCTATCTATCTGACGGAGGCACTACACAGGTCTGTGCTTGTTTAGCAGATGTTTATTGAGCAGCTGCAGTGCACAGCACTGGGCGAGGCTGTCGGCTGTGTGAAGATGGGCACCACATAGTATAGTTCCTGCTCTCAAGGAGCTTACAGCCTAGGGGAGCAGACACATGCAGACGACTCATCGTATTTCCTTGGGTAGACAGAGTCTTGGATGTCTTCGTACAACTACTTTATGGATTCTTGCAAACAAATGTTGAATCTTGTTTGCCAGTCCCCCTTCTGCAGCATGCCTTAAGCATATGCTGGCCTTCCCCAAATCCTTGTCATGTATTTGGGGAAGACATGTTCACTTTTCTGAACTCTAATGTAGAACAAAACTGAATAAGGGAGGGGCTTTTCTGGCTTGGGGATCAGGTGGGGTGAGACGGCAAGGGCCGAATGGGCTGAGTATTTAAATATTTTAGATTATGAACAGTTAATGATTATCTCCATTAATCATTTTTCCTATCAATTAATCATTCCAAATCTTTCCTTGTCACTCTCTCGAGTTCTCTGAGAAAGTCAAGTTTATTTCAGTATCAGGGACTCTAAGACTGAACCACTCAACCTGTCACCTGAAAGTCACTGCTCCTTCCCTCTCCCCCTCACTGCAGGGACCTCTGAACATTTTTTTTCTGTGCTCAGGGGCTTTCTCTGCCCACAGACCGTTCCTCCTGCTCTCTGGATAAGTCGGTTGTCCCGGGCAGATGCTGGGTTCTCAGGGAAAGCTCACGCAACTGACTCAGTCCCCATTCTTCCTTCCTTCAGAAAAGCGGCTACGTGACCGTCAGCGACATCAAAGCCAGTCTTAACTGGGAGACAGAAAGAGCGCGGCAAGTGCTGGTATGTGACTTGTAGAATGGCCCAGAAAAGACGGGTCCCAGACAGGAGGAGTTGGATGGTCAGGACCCACACAGACTGGGATTTTGGCCTTGTTCTGCTGGCCTCTTGCCTTGAAGGCTACTCGTGTCGCACTAGAAACGCAGCATTTCTTTGAAGGTGGCACTGAGAGGTAGAACTCGAAAGCAGGCTTCTAACCTCGACACGTGGGCAGAGCCAGGCAGCCACTTCTCCTGGGCCATCACCCACACCTGCTCCCTCCTGAACTGTAGGACTTGGTCAGATGGTTAATGTAGTTTACACCGGCAGTTAACAGTTCATAATGAAGGAAAGTACCAACAACTTATAATCACATCTAAATTACATAGTATTGCATATGTATAATTATATACTATTGCATGTATAGTTTTATGTATACAAATTTCATGGTACTAATGAAAGACATGTTACTGAGAGGGAGTGGCCAGCATGGAAATGTAAGTTTTTAATACCTTCTTCCTTATCCAGTGAACGTGCGGACACATCATCTGTAATGTCAGCATACACATCCGTTTAATATTGGTCAGAACCAGCCCGTCTTGAGCCCATTTCCAACTGTAGGAACACAGTCCATTCTGATAGCAACAGTGTCTTTCCATTAACTTCTCCAAAAAGTTTTACCCACACGTGTCGCCTGGTAAATTAACTGAAAGGCAGCCACCTCCATTTCGCCTCATGGAGTCAGCGACCAGCCCCAGGCCATGCAGCAGGTATTTCTGCAGCCCTCCATCCCCGCCACGACATCACACTCCGTCTGCACCCTCTTTTCCAGCAGCACAGGTCAAGGCCAAACAGCTTGTGCCAGGCTGTGTCAGTGTGTGAAGGCACTCATGTAGATTTAAAGTGAAAACCCCACTGAAGCCAATGGGGTGGGGACTCTCTGCCCATCTGTGGGAACTCCCTTCTCACGTGACTTCCTCTGCCTCTAGGAACACCTGCTGAAGGAAGGGCTGGCCTGGCTGGACCTGCAGGCCCCAGGGGAGGCCCACTACTGGCTGCCCGCCCTCTTCACTGACCTCTACTCCCAGGAGATCACAGCTGAGGAGGCCCGAGAAGCCCTCCCCTGACCCAGGGGTGCGGAAGCAGCGGCAGCAGCAGGCAGAGAGAAGAGGGAGGACCTGATGGTGAATAAAAACTGGACAACTTTGTTTAAAAAAAACCAAAAACCCACAGAAAAGATGTTCCAAGTTTTTTTCTTCCCCCAATTTTCTTCACTTATTACTTTATTTCTTTTTAAAGTGCCTTCACATTGCATCTTTATTGGAGAAAACCTCATTTATCCAGTAGGGATAACCTGAGTAACACAGGTAACAGCGAGCACGTCAAATGACTTGCACGGGTCATCGACAAGTCCACGGTGGAAGTCCATCTGTCTCCTGGCTAGACAGTTCCGTCCCTTTGTAGCCCTGAGACCAATTATAGCCTGTTTATCCAAACCTCTTCCTTACAAAAATGTTTATCTCAAATGGGCAGATCCTAATAGGCTAGTAGATTATATTTGCTCTTCCAGCTTCCTCTTGAAGAGGTTCCAGGTTATGACAGACTTGGCTGAGTGTGAAGGAAATAGAAGTTAATGTTAAACGGTAGTTAGAGGGAAGAAAACAGGTTCTAGGGAAACCAACTGATAGTGAATGTGGCATTTTCAAGTTCCCGACCAGCTTTCCCCCCTGTACTCATCACTAGGTCCTGACTAGCCTTGGCGGTGGGAGGGGACTCCTGGGACACCTGCTCTGTGGCCATGCCTACGCACACCTCTTAATCCTTGCAGCCACCTCATGAAAAAGTAGGCATCCTTAACCTTGCACACAAGGAGTCTAATTTGCCAGTGACCACCAGCCAGGTTTAGCAGCAGAGCCAAAGTTAGAGCCTAGGTCCCCTCACTCAAGCCCACACGTCACATGGCACAGGCTGGGTGGTCAAGACAAAAGGTCTCTGCACTGAGAAGCAAAGGCCTTTAACGGCAATTCGGAAAGGGGGCGATGAGCAGGAAGGCTAGTTGAGCCCAGTCTGTGGCCTGAATGCTAAATTCCTAAGAAGGGATGGTTTAGCACAGAAAACAAACCCAATGGATTATCCATCTTGAATCACCCTTCCCTTCGCGTACAGCCTAAGCCTGTCTTTACTGCTCTGTCCTTGTAGGACGCGGTCACTTTCCAGTTTCGGTGTAGGTTTTTCCTCTGGCAGCCACTGAGGCTACAATGGCATCCCTCTCGGACTGTCAGAGCCACAGCCTTAAAGACCCTACTTCTGGTTGGTGGAAAACTGTCACCAGCAGCCCTGCTCCCACCCACAGCACATAACTTGGTTTTAGCTTCCAGACAATTCACTGAGCCTTTCCGGCCTCAGCAAGATGTGCGGTCGGTACCCCGTTCTTCCTTTACACAAGCCCTCCCACACCCATTGGCGCTTCCTCCTTCTGCCAAACAAACTTTATTGCACCAAAAAGGAAAAAAAAAAAAACTTCATTTATGTACAGTCAGATATAAAGACATCTCTTTTGACTCCTGTGCATATATTTCCTCAAGATTAGGGCGTAAAAGTCAGGCCAGTATGCCAGACATGCTCTGCCTGTGGCAGGGCCAGAGAGAGGATTGTCACTTGAAAGTGGGAACACTTAAATGAATGACAGACAACACTGGACCAGCAGACCAAGGGCCTTCTTCCCAGCCCTGCCCTAGCTCTGGGAATAAAAGAGGGAAATTGGAAGCAGGGTGCGTTTTTTGAGCCTCCTTGTGAAAAGACCCAACATTTAGATACCGAAGGTAAACTTCCGTTCCCCAGACCCACTTCCTGTGCAGTTTGCTTCCTGCACTCCCAAGTGGGACACACTCCTTTGTGCCCAACCTCCTTCCCAACACCCCCCAGGGAAGTCCCACGATACACAAGACAGAGGCAGCCACAGCAGCTGGCAGAGCAGAAACACGTTATCCTCCCCCTCACATGCAGCTGGTTACTGACAGGGCCCTCTGTCACACAGAGGGCCAACACCCCACGGGAGGCCTTAATGAGACTCCGGAAAGCACAGGGAGAACACAGCAAACAGGGAGAGGGTGGGTCCCTCCTTGCCCACTACCACAGGGCACCTAAAGCATGTTTTTCTCAGCCAACCAGCTAAGGATCACCGCAGATAAATACGAATAAGCGACACAGCCGGGCAAACACCCATAGGAGCTGGGGACAAAGAGCAGTTGGGAGGGGCTGAGGGGAGAGAAGGAGTCTCCAAAAATCTGGCAATCTCCTGCCCCGATCTCTATTGGCTACCCTTGCTCCCCACTGGTCTCTGGGCCTTGAAGTGAGGAAGGATGACTACAGGCTGGGGTAAAACCCACAAGGACAGCCAAGCAAAATACAACGGGTCTGGCATCAGCCTGCTCCCTCACCCCACCCAGGAGAAACACCCTCACTGTGGCTGGTATTTATGACAATCTGTAAGAGACTATCCTATTTAGTGGCTCTAATCCCATACACCCAGCAGCTGCTGGAGTTGGGAAGTCTCCAATGATTTTGGGAACAAACAGCACCTCCATCTACCTACGGTGCCTGTGAGGGCTTTACTGAGAACTTGGTTCAGTCCTATCACGTTTATTTTCTGTCTTCAATCTAGAAATGGGGGAGGGGATGGGCGACAGGAGAGAAAGGTGCTCAGGTGCTAGGTAAAGCTCACTGATCAGCAGCCTAGATTCCACCACTGTTCCTTCTCTTTGGTCTGTCTAGAACAGTGACGATAAATTAGGAAAAACAAAATTATGCTGGCCCATGGGAAATAACGGGGAAGAGAGGCGAGGAGGAAAAGGGCACTGGGAAGCCCTGTTTCAAGACTGAAGAGACAGACGTACAACCACCCAGACTGCTTACATGTCAGACAGCCCCCCACCCCAAGCTCCCTTCCGGTTACCCCGTAAATCATTTGGGCACACTCCCTCTTGGAATTGCAATTTCTACCTCCCACCTATCCCTAAGGAGCTGGCCCTGCGGAGAGGTGTGTTGGTTGTTTTGTTTTTGCCAAAGGCCCTCGCCCTAGGCGCTCCTGCATAGGTACCTTGGCCCCTGATATGGGATGAACGCGGCCCCCAGATGCCCGAGAGCCAAGGAGGTCAGATGGGGAACAGACCCCCCGTCCCCACACCCTGGGATCCAAGCTTGCTTGGTTCTTGCTATCTTGCAGAATGGCGTCACGCTGGAGGGAGATACACAGTGCCTCTCCATCCCTGGGGCGGGGGAAGGAACTTTGCTGAGACTCTCGAGTGGGGGGAAGGGAGAGGGGCGCAGGATCTAAACCCTCAGGCTCCCGTGCAGGTCTGTCTCTGTCCCCGATGAGCTGCTGTCAGAGTCCATTTCGGCGTTCTCATTATGGAGCCTCTCCAGAACTTTCTGACGGATCAGTCCCAGGCGCATCAAGAGGGACTGGTAGTCAAAGTGGCCACGCTTCTCTCCAAAAGGGTCCTGTGGGGGGAAGGGGACAAGGGAGACGGAAGAGTCAAGTCTGAGCAGTCACCCTGGAGAGCGCGGCGTCGGGCCCGTGTGACACGCGTGCCCAAGTCCTGGGTCCCGGGAGCAGAGGAGGGCACCCCGCGGACAGCACACAAGGGAATCTCTGTTCAGGAACATCGGGGCACACCTACATGCCCAGGCAGGCCTGGCTCGGGCCTGCATTCAAGCGTGATGCGCTCCTCACAGGCAGGCCAGTATACAGGAGGAGGACACTAAGGACAAGACAAACGGGGAAGCGGAATCCAGGACCGGGACTGTAACGACTAAGTGCGCCCGTGTTTCCAGTTAACCTCAGAAGCCACACAAAGGGGGAGTTACCCTGCACTCCCTATACAGAAGGCCCTCAAGTAACACTGCTCTGGATCGATGTCTTCGTTGTAACGCTGATGAGATGCCTAGGAGCTTGCTCTTGTTTACATCAATTAGACTGCGGTAAACTCGGTTTTGTTGTGTGCTGCTTTCTAAGAGTGTAACAACATAAAGTGAGGGCACACTGTACTCAAAGAGGGTAATGTGCTTTTCTAAGGTCGTGGACGGGTCTAGAACTCAGGAGCTCGGACTTCTAGGTAAGCACTGGTTCTGTTCCCCAGGAATCAATCACCGTATTTCTGTCTAGGTTTCTGGGCATCATGCTAGGGCCACCCAGACTCGGTCCTGGTCCTTGTCATTTCAGATGATCTCTAAACATTACACAGAAAGGCATTAACTGTCCTTAAAGTAGAAAAATAACTGTGGTTGCGGTGGAGGACAGAATGAAAGGAATTTAAAATGCTACACAGCCAACGTGGCAGCCAAGTAGAGTGGCCAGGTCTCAGACAACCGGAGACCTCTTTCCTGGGCAGCCACGAAAAGGCGTATGATTTTTCCTTCTCACAATGCAACTGCTTCTCCCACATAAACTCCTTCCACTCGTCTGACTGTGACCAGGGACCAGTGGACGCAGGTCACAGTCACGGTGACTAGAGCAGGCGTTTTTCACTTATGAGGGTTACGATACCCAAAGGCTGGCCTCCACACTTACTCTGGAGCTACCCATTTTCCAAATCTTCCTTCTTTCATCATTGGCTCCATTTCCACCCATTCTCCTCCTCCCCAGATGCTGCGCCTCCTTTTCCTTCCCCCATCAAGAGTTATTTCCCCCTAACAGACTGAATACTGGAAATGCTGCTGGGTACCGACAACGAGAATTCCTGACAGGGCACACGCCACGGCATGCCACACCTTCAATACACCGAGCTGGCCTTGCCCTTTCAGTTCAAGTGCGGCAGGTGGGTGGAGAGTCCTTGAAGGAAGGACAGGGAAGCTAACATTTCTAGGCCGCACCTCAGGAAGCAAGACATTTACTCCTACTGCAGGAGGTGCTGGGTGGCAAGAGGGCTGGGGGGAACAGTCTAAGAAGAGATGGAGAAAACCCTAAAAGGCCCTAGTCACTTACGCAACTCTCCGTATTTCTAAGCAAGACCACTAGTAAATGATCCAAAAGACACGAGAACCGGCCCTTCAGGACTAAGGGTTCTCACTCTCTTACCAACCAGGCTGTTCATATTGGAGCCTATCTCAATTTGGTGTGGTAAGAACCTCTTCTTTAAAACAAGCCGTAACTTCCGCATCTTTGCTGGAAGCACAAGCATGTTTCCCCAGCAGACAGAGGACGGGTCACTGGTTGCCGTCCTGTAACAGGAGTGTTTTAACACCTGACACTACGCACACGAGGCCCGTCGAAGCCTTCTTTCTCTTAGCACCCCTCTGAGCTAGGGACGGGATTCCAAGAGAGGACTCTTACAATTCTCTAAGATTCTTAAAGAGAGCTGAATGTTCTTGGTTTGAAAAGACTACTGACCTAGAAGGGAAGGAGTTCCGGGCTAGAAAGGACGATTCAGATTCTACTCGTGAGTACCTACTTTATGCCAGGACCTGAGAACCAACTCCATATGGCTTTAGGCAAGTCAGTCTCCTCTCTGGGCCTCAGCTACTCAACTGAACCAGGTTCCTTTCGGCTCTCGGTTCTAGGAGAGATGTGGGTGTCACCCTCGTCGGGGGATTTTACACGGTCTCGCCGGAAGGCCCCTGGAGTCAACAGCAGGGGCTGCATTACCTGCATAGTCTGGCCTTGAAGGTGCAGGCGATCTTTGCAGGCCACCTCATAGAACTCGTAATACTCCAGGAAGGACTTCTCCATCACGCCTCTGGAAAACAAGCAGAGAAGCTTCAGCTGGGAAGCAGGCGGGAAGGGGCCACCCCTTCACCATCTAAGCTCAACGCCAAATTACACAGCGAGTGTTTCCAAGGCCGTGGCTGGTTTCCCTTATACCTTAGGGATTATAAAATGAGAGTTACTGTTAATACCAATCATTCAAATCTCAGCTTCAACCCATGCCTTGCTCAATCTCGTTAGTTTTCTATAGGTCTTCCCTAATTCTAATTCGTATTCAAAATTGTCCCCAGGAAATTTTTTTCATTAACTCTTGACTTTGTTCTTCCGGTTTTAACATCCAAGAAATAAACTCGAACAATAAGAAATGGGTTTACTTTGAAGTGCTCTACGCCTCATCTGGCTGTAGAACAGCTGTGTCTTTAATGTGTCCAGGTCCTTGAAAGCGGGGGGGCTCCCCCAGGGCATGGACTGTGTCTGTCCCCTCAGGCCCAACACTCTCCAAGACCAGAGCAGCTCTGTCGGAACCTCCTCCTGGGAACCCTCGGCCACATCAAGTATAGACCACATGCTTTTAAACCACTTGCTTCTTCTGTTTCCCTCTGGTGCTCCCAACCCCAAAGTTCTCAAAGGTTTGAACAAGCTAAGTCTTCAAAAGGAATGCAAGTACCAGCTGGGCCCTCCAGACACGTACCGTAAGGGCTCAGGACAGGGACACTTTCCTTCCATCATGTCACAGACCGCCACCCTGATGGTCTCATGCCGGATACATTCGTTATAATTTTTGCTGTCTCCTGGATGTCTCTCCTGTAATGCGACAGACACCATAGTATCCAAGTACATAATTCAGGCAAAGAGAGAAGCCATTTGGAAGACTTCAGGGTGGGTATGGGGCACGTGACCTAAGCAAATGAACCGAGAGGAAGCCCTTCCCATGCATGGGAAACCCACTGAAGAGCAACTGGGCCTTTTGTTGAGACCACTGCCTTCCCGATGCATACCAATGCCCATCCTCCGCTGGGTCACCTGAACCCAAGAAGCAGCAAACTCGATCCGTCAATTTTTCAAAGCCTGAGGCGATGAAAGGCCTCTCAGGTAAGGACCCAGTGGGCGAAACCAGCTGTGCACAGATGATGTTAGGCGGCGCAGTCTGGAGTCTGTGCTGGGCGCCTCCTGGTGAACGCCCTCACGTGTCTGCGGGGCTGCACCGTCACGACTCGACTACTGTGACGCTATCAGTAGGCTTGAAATTCTCAAAAGAAAACCCCAACTGTTGGCCTCTGAAGCTGATGGGAATGTGTGGGTGTGAACAGAAGGGATCACAGGAGGGAGTAACCCTCCTTCAACCTCTTCCTTTGCTCTGCAGTGCGCGCTTTTCCACCAGCCCTGGCCAACCGGAGCCACAGCCTCCGATAAAGCCCCTGCTAAAAACACACACAGGAAAGACACACACGCCTTCTGCCTCCTCGCTATGGTTCCCAAAACGCACAACAAAATCACAGGGCGCTTTGGGATATTTTAAATGTTTGAAGAAAACCACAGTGTTTGACACCTATCAAATACAGCGCGAACTACTAGCTTAAGATCAGTAATTCAGTTTTCACTGCGGTACATTCCTTCTGATGACATGTTATGCTTGTGAGGATGGACTTTCAGCCACCACTGTGACAAAGAGCAGGTAGCACATGAAAACAGTGGGGAACAGAGCTGAGGGTGGTGGGTTCAATGGGGTTCCAAGACTTTACAAGTCACGTGATGCCTAACAGATTTACACGTCATATCGTTATGCCATTATAGTTATCCAAAAAAAAAAAAAAAAAAAAAAGTTATTTGAAACTAACTGCTTAACAAATGGAACAGTTTGGCAACTCGTTCTGCCTGGAGAACTAAAAAACTACCAAGACCAGAGAGTGCTGTGAACCAAGAACATCTGAAAGTATTAAAAATAAAAGTTGTATCTGCTGAATTCAAAGACAAGGAAGATCTAAAAATCAGCATGCTGGTTAGCCAATGAGGTCCATTTTCACATCTACCTACTCCTGAAATATACTGTTTGTTTGGAAAGAATGGTTTAGGGGATAATTTTTATTTGTTCTTAAAGGGTATTTCGCTTTGTTCAGATTTATAGAAGACTTAGCAATATGAGTGATATCTCAAACAGTTTCAAAATGAATTAAGCTGTTTTAATCACCCAGACTGAATTACTATCTTTGGGGAGTATCACCTGGGCCCTTCTCCTGTGCTTATGATTAATCCTGAAAGGCACTTTGGCAAAATGGAAGAACTCTGGGCTCCAGGGCAAATCCTGGATCCAACCCTACTTTCGTATATCCTTGTGAAAGTTCATTAACTTCTCTAAGCCACCATTACCTTGAAAACAAGGATAACAATGTTTACCTCACAGAGCTATTATGAAAATTAACTAAGAAATTATATATAAAAACTTGGCAGTGTCTGGCACGTAACATACCCTTGGAAAATGGGAGTTTCCTCTACCTTCTCTTTGGCAGCGTTGACTACCATTCTTGCCCTAGCTAATGACTAGCGCCTCTGGCTCTGCAGGTAATGAATGGTACAGTTGACCTTGAACAAAACAGGGTTGAATTGTATGGGTCGGCTTACATCTGTTTTTTCCTCCCCCTCAGTAAATACGGTTGGCCTTTCTCATCTGCAGGTTTCATATTCGCAGATTCGACCAACAGCAGACTGAAAATATTATCTTCACACTCTCGACCACAGATCCAAAGTACTGTTTTCAATCCACAGTTGGCTGGATTGGTGGATGCAAAGGGCCCATTACAGAGTCCAAAGCTATATGTGAAAATTTGGCTGCGTGTTGTTTAAGGGTCAACTGTTACTTTATAACTCCAAAAGAATGTCTGGCTCAGCAGCGGTCACTGACATGACCTCAGGCGACACTGAGAATGGAGGTGTACAGGAGAGCCCACTGGATACAACAGCCCCCAGCGCAGGCTCAGAACTAATTTCCAAATGACTCCACTGACTTCCACATGGCAGATTAATCCAAGTCGAGTGGAAATAACTCGACAGTGTTATTGTAACTTACAAGGGGAAAAATTCATTAATGAGAAGCATGCACGCCAGCTTCTTTTTTCTCCTCTACTGACAAGTTCAATACTTGGGGCTAAGCCAGGTTCAAAAAACAACCCAGAAACCCTTCAGGAGACAGGCTTCTCACGTCTTAAATCCCAGTATCTCACACCCCAGGGCTGCGCCGCCCTGGACTTACCTGCTCGAAGCCAGGCTCGTTGTGATAGGGGTTCTCTGTCATCAGGGACTGGATGGAGATAAGCACGGAAGAGATGCTCTGGGCTGGGCTCCAGGCAGGGCCAGTCCACGTACTGCAAAACACATCAGAGTGGATGGAGAGGGATGAGGCGGAGGGATGGGAAAAGCCCGTCACAGAAAGCCCAATGCACAAGTACCCGGGGGCCTAGCAGCACAACCTTAAGCGACTCAAGGTTTCTCTTTCATTATTAACACTCTGGAATTTCCCAGCCTCTGTCTCACCCTCATTCACCAGAAATCAGTCAACTGCTTAATCCTCTTATCAAGTGAGACAAAAGAAAAGAGGGTAAGGCAGCAAGATAACTTTGAGGGGATTTTCTTTGGGCTAGGGAAGAAATAGTAGCCAGAGAAGGTTCTGTTCATCAGAATGAAAGAAATAAGGTAAGAAAACAGCTCCAAAGGGAGTCAAAATACGAACCTCTGCGGATGTCAAACAGCTTACTTATTTACTTGTGGGTGTGATGCAGTTAGTGAGGGGAGTGAAGCTGATCAGAGGCACGGGGGGAGTGAGGCCGTGTGGTCAGAGGCCAGGTGGTGGGGTGGATCAGGGGACCCAGTTCTCTATCAAGCCCCCAAGGAGTGTCAAATTCCCTGAAGACTACAGAACTCTGCCAAAGAACAGGAAGGGATTAAGGACTTCCAGATTGTGGAGGGTCTGAAAACACATGAAAAATAACTTGAATAAGAGAGAAACACCACAACTGCTCCCCTCTTTCATAAATCTGATCGAGCATTCGGAGGAAGAGGGCAGCTTGGACATTAAGGACATTTGCTTCTGTTTTTTGGTAATTGACGAGATGGCCCCTGAGCTGGAAGCAGAACACAGCCTGAGCCGGGACTGCTTCTGGCAGTTCACCGGCCAATGCCCTTTCTCCACTGGAACTGAGGACGTGATGCTCCTTGGGGCCTCTCAACCTGCTCTCTCCTCAGCTCTGCTCCCCGCAGAACTGTACACTCTTGCTAAGGCTTCACACAGCCAAGGGTTCAAGTAAACATGGTAAACTTTCATTAAATTTCTTCTGTCAGTAAGTCAGCCCAATATTTTTTTCTAGGTTGGAACGAAAAAAAATGAGGCCGATTAAGTGAATACAGTCACCTAAGAACACATGGGAATTTTCTACTCTGAGTCTTCATGGCAAATTTTCAATTTCTGGGTAGCTCCCCCTTTTCCACCCAACATACTTCTGCCACTTTTACCCTACCATTTTACTTCCCCTATTTCTATTGTTAGCTAGTGTTTACTCAACATAATTTTATGTTAGCCTAATAAAGGAGAACCTCAGTGGTTGCGTGCCGGCCTGTGAATCAAAGGGTCGCCAGTTGGAACCCTGGTCTAGGGCACAGGCCTGGGTTGCGGGCCAGGTCCCTGGCAGGGGGTGTGAGAGAAGCAACCACACATTGATGTTTCTCCTCTTTTTCTCTCCCTTCCCCTCTCTAAAAAATAAATAAGTAAAACCTAAAAAACAAACAAACAAAAAAACACAACCCACTTTCATGAATAAACTTCATGCAAAAGTGACAACTAAATTTCCTTACTGCTGTGGGTTACACAGACCACCATCCTACTGGCACAGATAATTATATACCCTAGCAAGAGGAAGAACTTCTGTAAGGACAACCTGCTTTACAGGACTTCCTCACGGCCGCCCACAATCACGGGACACATCCCTAGATCTGAAGGATTAAAAAAAAAAATTCACGTCTCCAGTTGTGTCAGCTGCCTCGTCCTCACACAGACCCAGAAACTGATGGACAAGAAAGAAAACAGTACCGCCAGTTTGGGCAACTTTCTCAACTGCAACCTGCACTTGCTCTCTGCCCCGGGGAAACTCAGACCACACTAAAAAGACCAATCCAGAATATACTAGAAGACATTTCCACGCTGAATGTTTAACCCCCTCAGGCGATGAAAAGGAACAGATGAGAACTATATGAACCAAAATCCCAATAGTACCCGGACACAAAATGCACTTAAAACTTGTGTTTCGTGTGCGATGTGATTTCCAGCCTCAGACATTTTTCATTCAGTTGTTAAGATACATAACCATTACCACCACCACTGCCTCCAAAGCCACTAATTGAGAGACTCATAAATAAGACACCCACAATCTTGAATGGCACAGATCTGTAGCCTTTCTCAACCTGTTTGGAGGAGAATTAAGCCCTGATGCCCTAAGGGAGTGGTTCTCAAACTGTAGTGTGCACCAGAGTCACCTGGAGGGCGTATAAAACAGTTGTGGGCCCTAGCCCCCAGTTTTTCATACAGTGCGTCTAAGGCGGGGCCCCAGAGTCCGCATGGCTACAAGTTTCCAGGTGCTGCTGCTGCTCTGGGAGAACCACTTCACCAAGGCAGCCACTGTATGAGTGAATTAACGTCTGTCTTTCACATCTGGAATCGTACTAGTCATGTACCACCCTGGGGAGAATGGATGAAATAGTCGCTCCCATTATTTTCTCTGTTCCGTAGTTCAGACGAGAAACCCTGGTTGATAAAGGGCTAGAGTAATTATTTGCTAACAACCAACTTGGCCCCTTAGAAATCTCCTCTTACCCTAGGATACTCAAGCAGACTTTCCCATTGCGGTAGAAGTTGGGGTTAAACCTCACTGTGTTATTGCCCGTTGTCATCAGTTTGACCCGAGGTGGGTGGATGGGATAGTCGGGCGGACACCGAAACACGAACAGGAAGAAACCCCCTTCATAAGGAGTATCAAATGGGCCTGTGATCAATGCATGAATCTGCAAAATAAAACCCCATCTCAAAATTGTGAGGTGATGTCCCATCCCAACCCCTCCTGGCTTCCACTTGCTACCCACGTCAGAAGCAGGACCTTCACCTGGTATCCACATTCCAGACCCTCTCCATGCAGAATGAACAGACTGTCCTCCCTCATATTAGTATTTCCAGAATTTTAAATCCCGCTATAGTGGAGTGGCATCTTACTCAGGGGATCCATTCTAAAGTTAGAGCCCAAGGTGAGAACTCAATCTAGTCAAAAATTACCCTCGAGTATCCTCGAAACTCCTTTAAAGCATGGATTTGTTCAGACTCTCTGATCAGTGTTATATGTAACAAATGGATAGAACACCAATGTGCAAAACATGCACCTGTAAAGTACTATCCTAGCATTTTTAATTTTAAGAAATAGGCATTTTTTCTGAGTGCATACTTTTGGCTTTGCCTAGGTTTAACCTGTGTATGATGCAACTCCACCCTCCATTTATGTGGCAAAAAAGGGGAGGCGAGATGGACGGACAAGTGGAAAGGGGCTGGAAGCCGTGGCGCCGGTGCCAGTGCAGAGCGGAGGGCTGTGATGGAGGCTTAGGGGGTCTGCTTCCTCTGCAGGGGATCAAACCTACACCGCCCATCCTGCTGTGTCAAAGATGCCAAGAAAAATGGGGAAAATTTGTGGTCCACTCAAAGCTGTTAGACCCACCCCCCTCAACTTGCCCCAACACTGTAGGTTAATAAAAAAATAAAAAGAAAAGAAAAATGCAGCGGCACTTAAAACAGAACACTAAATTCTCTTCCTCCAGCCATAATTATGGAACAAGATCCCCCTAACCTAAACTCAGTTATACTTCTACAAAGGCCCAAGGCATGTTACGTCTGCTCAGATTTGAACAGCAAGAGGAAAAGAGACCTGCAATCCAATGCCTCAGCGTCCAGTCCCTCCCTTCCCCTGGTGACACCCTACGTTTTCTTTTAGCTCAGTCATTGGAAGAACAAGCTCAACTGGCATCGACATGGCATCGATTCTGGGGACCCAGGGACTAGCATTTTAACACTGACACCTGACTGTGGACAAGATGTCCGAGGAAAAACATTTCCAACCACGTAAAAAGAAAAAAATTAATTGAAAGAGAAAACTGTTCCTAACAAAACAGATACCAACAATACAAAATCTGAATTTCTACTGTTAAGAAAATTGAAACTCTAAGTTTTCATCTAGACACTAGACTTAGGCAGTCTGATTTCTTCCCAACATCAGGTTAGGAGCCTAAACGATGCCCTTTCACTACCAACACTGTCACTCAAACTCGCCCCGTCCCCAGCCTTCTCTGCCCCTGGTTCACAGCTGCTGCACACGTACAGGTGTAGAGTGGCGGGATGGGGGCAGAGCTGGGCAGTACAATGGGTAGGGTGACCACATAATTTATCATCCAAACTGGAGCACTTGTGAAAGTGAAAGAGTGCCCTATTAATAGTTAAGCTGGAATAATAGGTGTAAACTGGGATTTTCCAAGGCAATCGGGACCTATTGGCACCCTAGTGAGCCACCTGTTCAAAGCTTGCTCCACTTCACTGTGAGACCTTGGGCCAGGCCCTTACCCTCCTGGGGGCTTGATTCCTTCCCTATGTAATCAGAGATACGAGCTGGATCATCTCTTTTAGGCTCTTCCAACTTTATGGGCCCAACTTCCCAACAAACCCCGACCCCCAGCAAGTTACATACCTTAGTCATGTCAACAGTATCAGGTACAACGAACATTCCCGGAGGAGGCTCCTTATAAATGGACATGATATCCCTGTATAACACCAAGAGGAGGTGGGGGAGGGAGTGAGGGAGAGGACAGAAAAAGGGAATCCCTTGAACAGGACAGCTGGTGTCACCTCAGTGAGGCCAGGGTTCAGGAAAGCGGTGCTTGGTACCACACACAGATGTCTGCACTGTCTTGCCGCACTAGCTGAGTACTAGTCAGGCAGGCAGAGAGCAAATTATTATCAAAGGGGCATTGTTTCCTCAGGGGGAGGGTAAGAAGGGGGGGGGGGTAAATAATCAGAGTTCCCAAAGGCATCAGATGTCACCCCGGAAAAGACTCATCCATTTACTCTCATTTCCTCCCACATGGCAATTCATTCACTCCCCACCCGCGAGATTCCCAGGTACTACAGCTAAATGCTCCGGGAAGATTTTTTAGTAACTGGGAAGGCACCATCAACCCCACTAAAAAACTCATTCCACAAACCACTGTGGACCTTTGTGAGCAAGGGGATTATATGAAGCAAGTGAGCTGGCAGGGAGCAATGATCTTCTTGCCCAAGAGACTCACAGGGCAGGAATCTCACAGCTGGAAGGGGACATGCAGTGGCTGCTATAGAAGTGAGAGGATTTCTAGGTCCTATCTCCCCAGCCAGACTGTATCAGCTGTGAGCGAGGGTCTAAAGGAGGGCATTCTAGGTGGGAATAGGCTAGGGACTTTCACAGGGGCACAGAAAAGGGCGAATAGCTGGCACAGAGGAAGTAAGTATAGGCAGAACTCAAAGGTATGTAAGGAATGTAAAACTGCCCTGTGTCCCGCACTGGGCCAGGTATACTTTACGCACAACGTGCTCTTTAATTTTCACGGAAACCTTGAAACATAGGGGATGAGAACATTCAGATGAGGACTATGAAGGGAGCATGGTCAACAGGATGCAGGTCCTACGTGACAAGCACTATACTGTGCCAAAAATTTTTACAAAAATGTTGTCTGTTAAATGATAATGATCTAAGATCAGTCGCCCAAGAGGCAAGAACAAAAAGGACTTAGGACCTTGTTCCTATGCTTGAATTGGGTATTATTTACTTTAGGAAAGTAAACCTAATGGTCCAGAGCAAAACATATAGGAAGGATGTATCTTGAGTGGAATATTACAAGCCAGAGTAAGACTGGGGGGAGGAAGCCTGAGTTCCAGGAACAGGTGTGAGAGTGGACAGCTTTGGGGTTATGGAAAAGTGGTTCAAGGAAAGATTGTGGGTATGACGGAAGTGAACTAGACTTGGGAAGGGACTACAGGGAGGGGATTTGAGGAAACGGGGAATAAAAAGAAAGGCTGGTTTCGAGTCTGAGGCCGGGAAAGCAAGCTGGGTCTGCGTTACAAACGAGGGCCAGGGAAAGACGACAGAAAGGGACCCCGATGGACTGGGACTCCACGCAGCACCTAGAAAGGCTAGGGTGGGAACGGGGGAGAGGGGTGTAGCGGTGGGCGAGAGGGAGTGTTACTGAAGCACCAAAGGGTCGGGTTTCGGGCGGGAGGTATGGGGGAGGGTGTCCGGAGTGGAGACAGGGGCCCCTGGGAGGCTGCCGAGGGGCGGGGTCGGACCTGGGCCACTCGAGGAGGGGTTTGGTGCGTGTGGGACTAGGGATGGGGGATGTGGGGGATCGGGTCCCGACTCTCCTGGTTGACCAGAAGTGGGCCTTACAGCTGGACGGCCGCGAGGGAAGCGCGAAGGCGGCAGGGGAGGGTGAAGGCTGGAGTGGTAAGGGTTGGGGGGGCACAGAAGGTCGAGCCCCAGAGCTTGGGGCTGGGGAAGGAAAAATCCCAGCTCACCGCTTGATCCGGAGTAGGCACTGCGGCGCGGTTCGCTCGCCGTCCCAGTCGGAGCTGAGTGTGGGGTCCCAGTGGCTAAGCAGCGCGGCCCCGTGGGCAGCGGCCGAGGGCGGGAGCCCGGGCAGCGGAGCCAGGCCGCTCCCTGGTCCCCCAGCCCCACCCGCTGCTGCCGCCGCCGCCCACACATCCGGCAGGAAAGGAGGCCCGAACCCTCCGCTGCTGCCGCTAACGCCAACAACACCGGCGACTCCGCTCGCACCGGGGCCTGCCGCCCCGGCGCCCGCCGTCGCCGCCTCTTCAGTCGGACTCTCCGCCATCACTGCTTCGCTTCCGGGACTGCTAGGCAGCACGTCCGCCGACCAGAGCGGCCGCTACTCGCACTGTCTTCCTCACCACCGAGAGCCGGGCCAGAGTGTCCCCACCCTCCGTGGCCGCAGCCTGGCGGCGCTGGCTCCGCCCACCCCCGCCCCGACCAGCGAGAGGGGTTCTGCAAGAGCGTCCACCCACGGTCCTCCAGGGCGGGCGGGTGAAGAACTAGCCGGAGGGCCGCGGGTTCTGGTTCTTGCGATGGTTGGCACCGCGGTTTGCGGGAAAATAATTTTAGGCGCGTCCCGGGGCGCCTCGGTACAGTGGACAGCCCAATTCCAATGGATATTTTGTTTTCAAATGTTGAAAGAGGAGGACGGGAGGGCGCTATTCCCTCTTAAAGAGAGCGACCCTCAGATGTGCCCATGGGGTAGGATTGGGGATCCATCCTCCTTGTAGGGAGGCACTGGGTAGACTGGGGTAACTCGCTTAAGTCCCTCGCTGCTCGAAAGGCTCTGTGATTTATCCTTACTCCCTGCACAGTCCACCACTGAGGGCAGGCTGCCTGCCATTGCCCCAACCCGCAACAGGACCAAGAGGAAGAAAAGAAGGAGCCAAGACCTGCGAGTGAAAAACGATCTCATTTTAGTGTTTATTCGATATGTATTTATGAAGAGCCTACTAAATTCTAGGCGTTGCCATAGGGATAATGAAACAGACCTCGAGAGCGTGAAGGGGAAAAAAAATCAGGCCTCGACTCCAAGCTCAATATTTTTACTTCCTACGAGTCCTTGAATACACAGGAATCGAGCAAAGGGGCTGTGAGTTTAAATCCTGGAAGGATTCCTCAGGATTTCCCTGATAAGAAAGGTGTAAAATAATATTACGGACTAAGAAAAATAAAAGTCTTCTTAAAAAAAAAAGTTTTTCCTTTTCTCCCTAGTAAGAATACAAGCTCGTACTCTTAACCAGAAAACTTGGGGCCAGATGTGTTTCAGAATTTAGAGTAACCTGGGGTAGTATCAAGTAACGAAACGTTGATACTACGTCCATTCCAAAGGGCATGAATATTCATAATAATTTGCGTGCCTATGAATATTCATACAAAGACCTACGAATAGCCTCCCTTTGAATTATATTTTGCCGCCAATTTTTTTTTAAGCCCAGTTTTCACAGCTTTTGTGAGTTTTCCGGTAAGGAAATTGTACATTTGAATGAAAACGGCCAACATTTACTGATAGCTAATTTTTTTTTATTTTTAGCGAACATTTATGGAGTGCTTAATATGCACCAAGCTCCTTGTATACTTTGTCTTATTTATTCCTTTCAAGGACCCTATGAAGTAAGTACTATTTTTAGTCTGTTCTGACAGATGGAAAACAAGTCTTACAGAGGTTCAGCCGCTTACACCGTCACACTGAGAACAAGCTGCAGAATTAGGGCTGTATGCCAGATCTGACTCCAGACAAAAAGTTCTAACCACTGTGTGACACTGTCACAGCTACGAACTCTCCCACACTTACTGCATTTTACCTTGTACCAAAAGTCCTTTGGTAACTGTTGCTCACACTCCCTATCCACCTACACACATACACACGCACAGCACTCTCGGCGCTCCAGACCATGTATTTGTGAATCCAGCAAAGGGCACAGCTTAAGTACTTAACATGAAACAAAACCAATCAATACAGATATCATTGTTTTGTTGGTATAGTGTTTTTCCATTCTATAAAAAGATGTCAGAATCTCTCTGAAAGTGTACACAAGAAATGTAACAGTGGCTGCCTCTGGATAGTTTTCTTGCTGACAAGGTGGGCCAAAGGGGTGTGTGTGTGTGTGGTGCCTTTTAAATGTTGTACTGTACATCTATTGCCTATTCAAACTATGTTTTATTCACTTAAAAAGGATTCCAGAATTTTGCTTAGGTATTTATTTAGTAAGATGGTCAAAAGTTAATTCACTGGGTAACAACACACAAGGAGAACCACTAGTCCATAAATTCCTCCATGGCAACAGACTGCAGAGGCCCAAAGATGGCGCACGGGATAAGTGGACTCCTTAGTTTGTCCCCTCCTTTTTACTGGACCATTGTTTTCGAGTACAAGGGCAAAAAAAACAGAACATTTACCTTATACCCAGAAGAAAGGTTCAAACTTTTGATTTGTATCATTCAGCAAATATCCAATTTTAGCCAATTTCTGCATCTGTAGAATGATGATATTTCCTACTTTTCAGGGTATTTTTGAGGATTAAGTGTGACATTTCTGGAAGAGTTTTCTAAATGGCAAGTACTGTCCAGATAATTGGTACCTCACTCGCTCACGTACCTTCTTTCCTCCAGGCCTTTGCTCCTGTTTTCTCTACCTGAATTAGTCTCTCCCTCTACCAGGGGAAAACCTAGCTGTTTGAACTTGCCAGGCCTCTTCTCATCAGTAATATTGGTAAAATAATAGCAACTATAAAAAAGCGATAATATGATAATGAACGTGTACAGTGCCTGGCCAAAGTAGATGTTTGGTAATTAACTCATTATTTTTACTCATCTTCAAGACTGGCTGGAATATCACTTTCTCGGCCAAGCCTAACACCTCCAGGCATATTATTAATATTATTAGTCATTTTTAATTACCCCATACTCTGGAGTAATTCATACTTTTATTATAGGACACACTGCTTTTATTTTAGCGGTTTGGTTACTCATCTGTCTAGCTACTGCAAAGGACATCCTCTAGGGCAGAATGCGTGGATGGAACACCTGTCTGGTATCTCTAGGACCAAACATTCGGGGCGCACTGCAGAAACGGTGAATAGACTGGAAATGAGGACATGGTAGCTAGTTGTCCTTCCCCTGGCCATGGATCTTCAGGACCTGACCTCTTCCTCCACAGATATGCCTATTTTCTTTCCAAAGGGCTGAGCTGACCTTGGCATTAATAATCTGGGTCTCAGGGGCTGCAGAAGGCAGCTGACTAAAGGGAACTAACTCCAGGCGGCCTCTAAGCTGGGGAACAGAAGGACCAGGGAGAGGCTGGAAGAACTTTTAAATTGGCATTGCTTACTTTACCCAGTGCTCACTGACTTTTTTTCAAGGAGACACCTGGCTGCTTTTCAGAGCTTGGCCGGAGGGCAAGAGTGTGCCTTCCGGAGCCATCTCGTGTCCTCTGGTGATGAATGACATCACTGAGGGCTTCCTTACCTGAACCTGGACCCAAGCCTCTCGCCTCCCAGCACCGGACCGCCCTGCATTGAGCTTTCTCTTTATGCAGTGAAGTTTGTAGTGCTTTGCTCATGGCAACTAGGCAAGTGCCCTCCCCCAAGGACAGAGGCCAGCCAGTGTTCTGGAGGCCAGGTCACAGCTGCTTCAACCTTCCCTAAAGCGATAGATTGATCGTTCTTCTCCTCTTGCCCCCAAACCCTGTGCCACACTGCCCTCTTCCCCTCCAGGGAGCGTCCAGCCTCCTGTCTTGGGCTCAGTGCCAGGGATAAATGAGGAGTTCCCATCTAGGTCATAAATTCTAGACTAAAAGGAAAAATTAGCACTTGGATGGGGTGTTTTGAGGATTCAGATTATAAATAATAACTACATTTAAAAATTTAATACCTGTTATCGCATTACGTATCTCAAATACATCTTAGTGTATATCTCAGTAATACTGTACATGTATATATTACATGCATCAATGCATCCTTTGCATAAATTTACCTATATTATCTCATTTTGTCGTCACAACCACCATGAGTTGTTCTCACTTCTGTTTTAGAGATAAGAAACGGGGGCTCAGGGGAGGTCATTCGCTTCCTAGTTAGGAAGTGGTGGGGCTGGGGTCTGCATGCTCCTTGGACTCCCAAATCCACAGGCTTTGCTACCACACCCAACTCTAAGGCAGTGATTACTGTTTGTTTTGGTCATTGCCTCTCAGAGAATATAATGAAAACAATGGATCTTCTCCTCCCAAAACACACATCTGTATCCTCTCACAAATAATTTGTACTAAGCAAAATGACTCCACCTATGGACCGTGGACCCTGGATAGAATCCTCGGTAGTAATGGACTGACTGGCCTGGCTGAGGGAAGGGGTGTGTTCTCCACTGACCCTGTAGGGCTCCATGGGCTACCAACCACATTCCCAAGCCTGCTGGTCTGGATTTCCAAGCAATTCCAAGGCTGTGTGGAGCCCACCTGAAAGGAAATTCTTACTAGCCTCTGGGTAAAACCTAGGTTCCTAGAGCTTCACAGGACAGAAAAGGCAACCACCTTTTCTGGGGGCTGCTCTTTGATTACTGCCAGAGGCTGGTGACCTGGTAAGGGTATCAGCCTATCTCAGAGGCTACTGCATGCCGTTTGTGCAAATGTTAACAGTTAGTCCACCGCTCCCTTGGTGATACCTCAGCTGCCAGTTCAACCTCAGTTCCCACTTCTTTTCTTTGGCTCTGAGATTCCTGGGCTCAGCCTCAGGTTCTGTTGCTGGCTTACTGCAATTACCTTGAGTTACTGAAGGGAAAGAGGCTAAGAGCACAGGCATCCGATTGTGGTGAACCATTAGTTCTCAGCTGGGGGGGATTTTTGCCCTACAGCCAGGAGACACTTGCATCTATTTGGCAATTGGTAGTTACTACTCGGGAAGGGGAGGATGTTACTGGCACCTAGTGGCTAAGTGGCCATGGATGATGCTAGACATCAAATGATGCACAGGACAGCCCCACAACAATGAATCACCTGGCCCCAAATGTGTCAAAGTTGAGAAATCTTGTGCTAAAAGACCATGACCATGATTGCTGAATGAATGTTGGATGGACTTGGGTTAGAATCATTGGTTTGCTGTATGATATTGAGTTCGTCACTAAACTTGCACAAACCTTAGATGAGCCAGCAGTAGCAAGAACACAGGTTCTGGAGTTTGAATGCCAGCTTTACTAACAGCTGTGTGACCTTCACGGCTCTCTGAGCCTCCCCGTTTCCTTACCCATTAAATGACTTCATAGGGAAGTTGGAAGTTATTCATGGAAAGTACTTAGCAATGCGCCTGACATACAAATACTCAATGTTAGATGACAGTATCGCAACTACTCGTCTCCTTTTCCTCTTCCACAGCACATAGCTCTGTACCCACATATTCCATAACATGTGGCACTGTTCACTGTCGTTTCCACTCTGCTGATGCTCTAGCTCCTTCAGGGTGAGGACCTTAGATTTCTTTGCTTTCCCCAAGACATATAGGAGGATGCTTAGTGCCTAAATACCTGCATGACTCTTTTCACTGCATATAAGTTAGCCCTGTTTGGGGTGGCTCAGCTGGTTGGGCATTGTCCTAAAAAGTGAAAAGTTGCTGGCTTGATGCCTGGTCAGGGCACATGCCTGGGTTACAGGCCATCTCTGGTCTGTCATGTGTGAGAGGCAACTGATAGCTGTTTCTCCCTTTCTTTCTCCTTCCTTTCTTCCCCTCTAAGAGTAAATAAATCAATCTCTGGAAAAAAATTAAAAATAAATTGTACTCTGGCTGCTGTGGCTCAGTGGATTGAGTGCCAGCCTGTGAACCAAAGGGTTGCCAGTTCAATTCTCACTCAGGGCTTGGGTTGTGGGACAAGGTCCCCAGTGGGAGGCGCACAAGCATGAGACAACCACACACTGATGTTTCTCTCCCTTTCTTCCTCCCTTCCCCTCTGTCTGAATATACATCATCTTAGAAAAAATAAATTCCATATAAATTAAATCCATTCTCATCGACTCACATTTTTGTTGTTCTTAGCACTAATTAGGAATATTCTGGGTTTCACTATTTCACAGAAACATCTGCAACAGCTGGAGGTGAAAGGTTTTCACAAGATGGGTTCCACTTACAAGTTACTACTCCTTTTGAAACCAGCTAATCTGAGACAGACCATGTCTTCCAGCAACCTGACTCCATTCTGCTCGTTTTGCTCCTGCTCCGACTCAGAGAAGCAGCAGCTGCGGATGTATCAGCTCCGCTTTCTCTTACCTGGGTAATCGGTCCCACTCCAGCCAAGCGGGAGAGCCTGCTGAACATCGACTTTTTTGAGACCACAAGATGCTTGGCAAAGCTCTCTAAGCAATTTGTTAGTTTGTCCCCCCCTCCCTTCTGCCTAAACACCTTTTTCCCCCCCTAGCAAAGCTAAGAGTGAATTCTCCAAGAACAGAGACTCTGCCACATCTGCCTTATTCAAGAACACCTAGGGCGCTGGCCAGTGTGGCTCTGCTGGTTGGAGCATTGTGCTAAACACTAGAAGGTTGGGGTTTGATTCCTGGCCAGGGCATGCACAGGAGGCAACCAATCAATGTTTCTCTCTCTCTCTAAAATCAATAAACATATTTTACAAAATACAAAAAGATCACCTAGGCACTCAAAAAGGTGAAATGATAATGAAATATACAAGTGAGGCTAAATGTAGGTGGATAGAGCCTCTATCTCTGAGGGCTATACAACTTCTCTGGCACTAAGTTTCCCTATTGGCGCCGCTTCCATTGTGCGGCCAAGACTAAAATAGATGGGGCCGCACAGTTAGAGGTTTAGGCTGGCCTGATGGGGAATCCCCAATTCCGCCACTTACCAGGTCTGTGATGGCTGCCAGGTTATTTTGCTTCATTTCCTAAGCCTCATTTCCCCATTTGCAAAACAGTTCTAGTCACTGTACTTCTAATTCATAAGGCTGTTGAGCTAAAAACATAAAGCCCTTGGTACTGAGCCCCTCAGAAATGTCACACATTACTATACCAAATTGGCAGGGAAAAAGCACCAATGATCAGACAAGTTCATGCTCCCTCTGGGAGAGAAAGACCTGTCCGGGTTCTTCCAGGCCTGGCAGTGACCTTTCTCAGCCTCGAGGAGTTCCTAATCACCAAAAACCCAACCCCACTTCCCTTGTCCCACCTTTCCATCAAGACCCTCTCCAAGGTCAAAGGACAGAGGCGCAGGCATATGGGTTTAGAGAAATGTTGTTGTTTAATGGTAAAGCTTAGCATGTCCCAGCACCGGGCATGGCCTGGAGTCGGAGCAGCAGGGATGGGTAGGTGACTCCCATGGAGGCTCACATGGCGAAGAGGATGAGGAAGGCGACCATCAAACAGAAGAGCCCCATGGCCTCAGACAGGGCGAAGCCCAGAATGGCATAGGAGAAGAGCTGCTGCTTGAGAGACGGGTTCCTGCCGGGGACAGAGATCGATGGAGAGGAAGGGGTGAGGACACGGGCTGGGGGTGGAGGGCTCAGGTAGGTTGGGTGAATGGGGAGTGCTAACACTGGGAGGGCCTAGCCTGCATGTGCCCTGGGGATTTGGCCAGACAAGCAAAGTACCAACATGGTAAGTTTAAGTGAGCCAGGTTGGAAGCATGTTTAAATTCTCACTCAGAGAATTCTGCTCTCCTCCGGAGAAAACAGGAGACAGGTGCAATAAACCTGAAGCCACAGGGATGTTCTCTTGCCAAGGCTTCCCCCAAACAGGGTGGAATTCACGGTGAGAGAGACTCTAGATCACCCCCAAACTCACCTGGCATAGCCAATGATCAAACTGCCGAACACTGTTCCAATTCCAGCCCCTGAACCAGCCACACCCACTGTGGCAGCCCCAGCACCAATAAACTTGGCTGCTGTGTCAATGTCCCGGGAGACAACACTGGTCTGGAACTCCCGTCTGGCCACCAGGAGCGGGGAGCTGCTGTAGGAAGGCTAGAAGGACAGACAGATGGGGAAGTAAGGAAAGAGAGGAAGAGACAAAGGAGAGAGTGAGGCACAAGGACGGTGTCTGACTCTACCCTCTTTACCCCACCCACCTGAGCTCTGAAACTGCTGGCAAACTGCCTGGCAAGTACAGAATGCTCAACTGCAGAGCATGCTGGGTATTACTCTTCGGGTAACCTCACTTTTGCAAGTTTCTCCCCTGCAGTGCTCACCTTGGGGGTACTTGGAACTATTAAAGCACCACGGATTCGCTAACTCTCCTTCCGCTTTGGCCTCAAGGCAACACAACTCACTTGACAGATCTCTGTCTGGAGAAGTTCACAAGTGAGCCCACACTACTTTACCTGTTCAGATGGGATCTCTGGCCTACTCAGGAAGGAGGCAGACAGAGGCCTGATTAGACCCCTGGTACAACAGCGGATCTGTAAAATCAGAAAGACACAGCCCCCAAATCAGACAAGGAAGAAAAAAAAACAACCAAACACCTAAATGCCGAGCTTCTGTCAAGAAGGACTGCAAATGTTAGGAACAGAAAAAGTCCAATGTACTTCAAGATCAATTAACGTGTTCCTGTTTCTACCAACTATGCCTGCACCAAACGCAGCTGCCCTGAGACCCTGGTGTTGTCAGCAGTGGCAACCTTCCCATTTAAAAGTGGGTACCAAAGTTCACTTCTACGGGCACAGCCCTGATCAGTATCCCAGAATGCAGCAAAAGCCCACACTAATATCAAACCACGTTCAGGAAGGTTTTGTACCCAGATTACCAAAGGAATCAGAAGGGGGAAATCTCATTTTGCTAAAATGGTACTCATTGTTATATATCCTGAATGGAGTGGACCAGTAAGCTGGGAGAGGCTCCTGAAACAGACATCTAAGCAGAGTCCTTAGTAACATGGCTTTCTTGATATATTTGCATGGGTTCCACTCTCATTCCCAGAATCTGTAGAGCCGGGGCATCAGTACTTTTCAAGGATCTCCAGTTGATTCTAATGTGCAGCCACGAGAGAAAATCACTGTTCTTAGTGGGCTGTCTTACTAAGCCACACAGAGGGTAAACGTCAGATCCGGACTCTCTGACCGCATTTCCAAGCCAAAATTCTTTGGTTTACACATCCAAATAAACAGGGGTTAACTGCATCACATCTTACAATCTCCACAAAGAGCCAACACCACCAGGATGCCAAGATTCTCTCAGTTCATTCATTAAACAATGATGGCTCCCACTCCTGGCACTACAGAGCACCCCGGAGCCGCAGCTTACCAGAGCCGGAGAAATGAGTAGAGCCCCGGTGGTCTGCATTTTTTCAGTCTGCAGAGGAAAACAAAAAATTCCATTGACAGTCTGCTTATTTCCTTATAGTGGCGACCTTCGTTCGTCCCCTTCACCCTCGCCCGTCCTCCCTGGACCACGCTCTTCCTAGCACCGTGCCCAGCATTAGAGGTCAGAGGGACAACGCGAACTCCCGGGTCCACCACTTTCAGTGAGACGGATCTGCAAAGGAAGGTCATGGAGATCGGAAGTAGAGGAAGGAAGCCTGAGTCCCAGGAGGGAAATGTAGCGAAAGAGGATGGTCTCCCAGGAAGACTGGAGGCCAGCACCGGGCAGGTACTGTGCAGGGTCCCGTTCGTTCATTTTACACAGCCTCAGTTGTACAGTAAGTCGTTCACTACCGTTGGTAATTAACTAATAGTTAAGACTATAGATGCCCGTCATCTCTCGCGGCCTTAGGGGTAAATGCCCCTCCACACAGCCCAACCCACACCCCTGCGAACCGCGGGTTTCCGGCCCCAAGTCACCTGCACTCCCACTGCCCTGCTGCCCTTGCTCAGACCACGGCGCTCGCCCCGCTCAAGGTGACTGACTCACGTCCCAGCTTTAGCTCTAGGTTTCAGAGCTCAGCTCCCCCACCCACGTGTCTCGGGGTCCCCCCACTCTCATTGGCCGCAATCCCTCTGCGTCCCCATTGGTTGACGTCCTCAATTCCTCCTTTCTTATTGGTTTTCCACAGCTCCTTCCTCTCTTTTCACAGGAGCTTCGTGGCATTTCCCGCCTCCCTGCGGGTAAAGGCGGGGTTTTCCCCCAAGATGCGGCTTCCGATTGGTTGATCCCCGAAATGCTAGACCATAGAGACGGTGGGACTCAGAAGTTCCGTAACCTCTCGCACAAAATGGCGGCTAAGGTGGAAGCTGTAGAAAAAGGCGTGAGAGAGATGACCGGACGCCTTACGCAGACAGACACATGACCTTGGACCCAGACTTCATTCGGATTCTGGGGCCTTTAGCAAGTTGCATATTGGGATTTGTAGTCAGGTCGTAGGTCCCAAGGACAGCTGAGATCCCGCGAGAGCTTCTTCCAGGGGCTGGGGAAACCGATACCTTTGCTGCAATTCCCGCGATGGTGATTTGTGGAAACCTTGCTTCCGCCATGGGGAATAAAGGACCCCCGCTGGCCTTGAAAGTTCACTGATGGGCGAGTGCGCCATTGTGGACCTCTGCTGGTGTTTAGCAGTCATGCACTACCAACAAGGTGTTTTTTTAAAGGATTTTGTTTATTTATCTTTAGAGAGAGGGGGAGGGAGGGAGAAAGGGGAGAGAAACATCTAGGTGTGGTTGCTTCTGGCACACCCGCACTGGGGTCCTGGCCCACAACTCAGGCATTTGCCCTGACTGGGAATTGAACCGTCAACCCTTTGGTTTGTAGGCTGGCACTCAATCCACTGAGTCACATCAGCCAGGGCTAATTTTTAGTTTTTATTTTATTGTAAAAGCGACAGTTTAAGGATGAAACAGTACCCTGATAGGAAAATGAGCAAAGGATAAGAATAAACAATTCACTAAACTATTATAAATTGAAGGATAGAATGTCCAACCTCACTAATCAAAGAAATAGAAGTTTAAGCTAATGTTTTGCAGTTATCAAGAGTAGATTTCCTTTTATTAATGTGAGCCAGGCACTCCTATGCTGCTAATGAGAGTATGACATTGAAAACCTGTCTTGAAAGCAATCTGGCAATACTCATTGAAAGACATTGAATAGCCCATTCTCTTTGATCCAGAAATTCTTGAGGCATTGAGAGCTTTTAAACTCTCTTATTTATTTATTTAACTATTTATTTATTTATTTATTTTCATTGTTTCTAGTGAGGGAGAAAGAAACATCCATTGGTCACCTTCTAGTATGCACCCCAAATAGTGGGTAAGTTATCAAAGAGCAACCTGGGTATATGCCCTGACTTGGAATGGAACTTGTGACCTTTTGGTCTATAGGATGAAGTTACAACTGTAACAGGGTGCAGTGAAGAGGGGGGCCTCAAATAGGGATTTAGAATGGGGTCCAAAATTCAAGGTGTTCAGGAAATATTAGGATGTCCTCGCCCCCCCCCCCCCCACAACAGGTGTGGGTTAGGGGAAGGGACAAATGGAGCAGGGCCTTTGAGAGCTGGTTTGCATAGCAACAGCTTTGCAGCTACCCTTTGGTGTGGTCATTTAACATATCTATAACCTTTGACTGGTTGCATGGATATGTTAAATAGCTGTGCCATGCTCTGGGCCAGGGGAATGAAAGTAACTTCCCCACCAGAACATGACTGGGAGAGCAGGTTCCCCAAGTTACAGCGCCTGCATGAGAGCTTGGAGAAGATTGGCTCCATGACATGGGGCCACGCCTGCCCAGACTCACGATGGCAGCCCAGTAAAGCTGGAAGGATATGGGAGTGCTGGCAAGTGTGGTTGATTGTGGGAGGAGTCGGAAATGAGGCTGTAGAGGAAGATTGGTGCGGGGATTTAAACCTAGAGATGGCAGCCATTGGGGGCAGAACCACTCAGTCTTTAGCAGAGTGGGGACTCCCACGGCCCTGCGAGAGAGAATCACCATGTAGCTTTAGCAAAGAACCACCACTCGGCTTTGGCAGAGTGGGGACACCCACGGACACCATGGGCCATCTCTGTGCAGAGAAGGACCACGCAGTTGGGGCAATGGAAAGAGAACCTCTCGACTTTGCCAGAGTGGGGACATCCCTGCAGCTTTAGAAGGGGGAACCACCACCCGGCTTTAGCAGAGATCCCGGCGACACAGCTGATGGTGCCGGGAACCGAGGGAGGCCTATCAGCCGAGACGGATTACTGAGAAGAACCAGGGGCTGCCTGAGCCACGGACTTCTATTTCTTTTCCTGAGATACGGTACCCCAGACTGGGCAAAGGGGGAAGGAAGGACTGTGTGTGTTTGTGGGTGTTTTAAGGGACTTTGGGATTTTGATGAAGACATTAGGTCACTACTTTAAGTCTGTATAGCATTAAATAAACATTTCCTTTCCTTTTCACGAATCTCTGGCCTTGAGAGATGTCTTTCCTCTTCCAGCGGACATAACGAACCTGGGGGGTTTCTTTCAGGTAATAGTACTTTGCCCCAGGCCCCCTCCCTTGTTGTTCTGTAACACAACCAACCGATCAAAAGGAAGAATAAACAAATGGGATTATATCACCCAAAAAGTTTTTGCACAGCAAGGGAAATGCATCAAAAAAACTAAGAGACAACCTACTAAATGGGAGAACACATTCACCAATGATATGTCTAATAAAGGGTTAATATTTACAATTTGTAAAGAACTGGTACTACTCAACACTAAAAACACAAATCCAATTAAAAAATGGGCAGAGGATCTGACAGACACTTTTTCAAAGAGGACATACAGACGGCCGATAGACATATGGAAAGGTGCTCAACGCCACTAATCATGGGAGAGATGCACATTAAAACCACAATGAGATACCGCCTCATACCTGTCAGAATGGTTATCATCAATAAATCCACAAATGGCAAGTGCTGGTGAGAATGTGGAGAAAAGGGAACCCTAGTGCACTGTTGGTGGGAATGCAGATTGGTGCAGCCACTGTGGAAAACAGTATGGAGTTTCCTCAAAAAATTAAAAATGAACCTGCTTTACTGCCCAGCGATTCCACTTCTAGGGATTTAGCTGAAGAAACCCAAAACACTAATTCAGAAGAATATATGCACCTCTGTGTTCACTGCAGCATTATGTACAATAGCCAAGCTATGGAAGCAAACCAAGTGTCCATCAATAGATGAGTAGATTAAAAAGCTGTGGGAATATATACAATGGAATATTGGCCATAAAAAGTATGAATTCTTACCATTTGTGACAGCATGGAAGGATATTATGCTCAGTGGAATGCATCAGAGAAAGACAAATGCTGTATGATTTCACTTATATGTGGAATCTAAAGGACAAAATAAGCAAACAAAATTTAACAAGATACATAGAAACAGAAGGAACTGGTGATTGCCAGAGGGGAGGTGGGGTTGGGGCACTGGGTGAAAGAGTTGAAGGGACCAAGAAGAACAAATTGGTAGCTACAAAACAGTCATGAGGAAGTAAGACATAGGAAATATAGTCAATAACATTGTGATAACTATGTATGGTGTCAGGTGGGGTACTGGAATTATCGAGGGAAATACTGCGTAAAGTATATGATTGTCTAACCACTAAGCTGTACCCTCAAAACCAATATGTAATGAAAAATAAACAAGTAAATCTAAACAATTTAATCCTTACAAAAACCCTTTAAGTATTATTATCCCATTTTACACATTACCCCCTTTAATAGACTATCTTTCTCCAGTTTGGCATATTGGGTAAGAGCAAAAGTCAGTATTTGAACCCAGGACTGTCTGGGTAGATCAGGTTAGAGCATTGTCCCAATATACAAAAGTTGTGGGTTCGATCCCTGGTCAGGGCACATATAAGAATCAACCAATGAATGCATAAATAAGTGGAAGGGCAAATTGATGTTTCTTTTTAAAATAAAGGCCCGACAGCCCCGACTGGTGTGGCTCAGTGGACTGAGTGCTGGCCTTTGAACCAAAGGGTCGCTGGTTCGATCACCAGTTGGGGCACCTGCCTGGGTTGCCAGCCAGGTCCCCGGTAGGGGGTGGGGACATGTGAGAGGCAATCGCACATTGGTATTTCTCTCCTCTTTCTCCCTCCCTTCCCTTCTCTAAATAAATAAATAAATAAATAAAATAAAGGCCAGACACATGTTAGTGGTTGGTGAATATTTCTACTCTAGGACAAGTTACATTTTCACGTGGACCATCCCTGACTTTGTCTACAAGTATTTTTTTTTTCCACATACAGATGTGTCACACAGTTGTGCTCAGCATGCATTCAAAGGTGTCAGATTTATCCTGCGTCCTACTGGAAATCAGACTGATTAGTGTCGTGTTTAGAATGTGAGTTTTGGAGTTAAATAATCAGGATTCAAATCCTGGCACTGCCACTTACCACTACTGTTTGATTTGGGGCAAAGTTCTTAACCTCTCTAAGAGTTCTTCATCTGTAAAAGGGAGAAATCCCTTTTTCAACATGGTTATTATAAGGAGTAAATGAGATAGTATATGTGGAAGTGCTCTTTTGACGACAGAGACAGAAAGTACTGGTCAACCAGGAGAGCCCGTGAGCAGTGGCGGGCAGCTGGGAAGCCTCACGTGTAGACCTGACGTCCTGAGGGTGACAACAGCTCCGGGAATTCCGAGGGAACTCCTGGGCAGGCGGAAATGCCTCGGGCAAAGGAGGCGAAGGACACATTTCTGGGCAATTAGCCAGCAGGTTCTGCTTTCCAAAGGCGTTTCTGATTCTCTTCAAAATCCACCTCTTCCACCTGGAGTCTTATCCCAAATCCTCTCTCTTTTCATTCCAGCCCCATTCCTCACTGTGTCTTTAGAAATTCAATAAACATTCTTGAGCACTTAACTTGCAAGCCCTGTACTTGGTGCTGGGAGTGCACAGAGGAGTAAGACCAGTCTCAGCCTAAATAAACTCAAAATTAGCAAGCAAATAAATGTGTGAACAGATCATTAAAACTATCATGTTAATGAACATCCCCAAACCACCTGCAAACTACAAAGAAGGGAAGGACTCACTCTATGTGGAGAGAACCTAGGAAAGCTTTTTGAAAAAAAAAAAAAAAAAACCAAAAACGATTTCCGAGCTGAGTTCTGGGGATAGGTATCAGTCAGCTAGGTGCATGAAGGGAGAGGGTGAGCACGGGTGAGGCTGTTCCAGGCAGAGCGAACAACGTGCACAAAACACAGAGGGGCGTTGGTGTATCGGGTCGCAGACCCATCAGCCATGGCCAGGGGACAGCACAGATGTGACTGCTGCACTTCCATTTCTGGCAATGTGGCTAGACTAAATACTCTAAAAATCCTCCTGCTACAACACCTACACATGCTACATAAGATATAACAAACATATTTTTAAGAGCATAGCTTTGTTTTTGACAGCTAAAGGAAATGGATTCCATATTATATCCAAATCACCAATTTCCCACAGTCTAAAACAACACTTCTTCTGCCCAAAGACCCAGCTGGTGGTAATTCATTCCATAACACTAATAGTTACAAGCATAAAAGGAGGGGTATTTTTTTGGGGGGGGAGGGAAAGAGATAAATGATTCTTAGTGATAAATCCTAGTTTTTAAATGCATAACTGAACGCACAAGAAAGTAAGGAAAGTCCTTAGGGAGCCAAAACAGCGAACGTAAAACCAGAGCAGTTATCACGGAGTATTAAACTGAAGCCACCATGGCTGGGAATACGGTGGAATAGAGAAAGGGGGTCAGACACAGAAAGCTTGAGTAGCTCAAGTTTTAACTCAATGTAGGGACGGAAGGGTTTGGGGCTTGTTAAGGTAGGGAGATGGAATTGAAATGTCCTTTTGGTTCAAGGTCAAAAAAAGAATAAGCGTAGATAGAGAAGTCCAAGGAGGGCGCTTTGGGAACCCCAATTAAAGAGGTCAGGTAAATGACGGGAACTAACAAAGGAGTCTGAGAAGGAATGCCTAGGGAAGTAGCAGGATAATTAAGGCAAGGTGGTGTCTTGAAAGTCAAATAAATGAAGCGTTTCAAAGAGGAAGGAGTGATCAACTGTCTCAAATGCTGCTGATAGGTCAAATCAGGTGAGAACTAGACTTGCCCCTTGATGGAGCAACCTGGAGGTCATCAGTGAAGTTAACCAGAGTTTCGTGTGTTGGTGCGAGTACAAGCCCATTAGAATGGGTTTAAGGATAGTTATTTGCTATCATTTTATGTGGCTATTTAACTGAACTTACTTTGAAAATTGGCGATGAAAGGAAAATAAATAAGCATTTATCTTGCCTTTATGGTAGGAACTATATTTTAGGATAATCAAATAAATTCAGTTGATAAGGAAAGAATTTACTGAAAGATCTAGAATTTGAACACTATCATTTTGCAAACCCTATGAAATTCCTGATTCATGCAAGGATTGTTAATTGGCTTAAACCCATCAGGACAGTGAGCAGGCAGGGAAATGACATTCTTTCTAGTCTCGAGGGGGAAGTGTAATTCAAACTGAAGGGATTAGGCTCTCCTCATCCTGAACCAGTGGCCAATAGTTCTGTCACAATAGGTGTGTCACCAGATATGGTATTTTATGATGAGGTGCAATGTAAGGTGTACAACACCATCTGTCATATACCTATCTCATTAAAGCAATTTAACTTGGGTCCATGAATCCTTTAGATCTGACTTTCAGTTTATAAGAAATTCAGGTTATAAGGGGACAAGCTAAACAGTACCAGGAGGGAGCACCAGACAAATTCAAAAGGTAGGACGTCTGGTCTAGTCCCTTCAACAAGTTAGTGTCATGAAAAAAGGGGATTTTACTAGAAGACCAGATGTAACATGTAGCCATTGGTTAGATACTGGTATGGACAAATCAGTTATAAAGGGCATTTTGGGGGTAATTGGGAAAATTTGCTTATAGTCTATGTATCAAGTGAAATGAAAAATTTCCAATTTGGAAAGGCAGAGGTGAATAAATGATACAAAGAGGTTATAAAATGGTATGTGTAATATGATCTCATATTGATTTAAAAAACCATACATTAATATATATATAAGATCCAATTATTACTGTAATTTTACTAAGTTATTAACATTGAAACTCTCAGCATAGTGAGAATATGATGTTTTCATTTTATTATTTTTGCTTATCTATATTTCTAATTTTCTATATGCTTGTGTATTTCTTCTGAAATATAACTGTTTATTTATTCATTTTTA